AGAAGAAAATTTTGAATTGTTTTATATCTCATTTGATTTAATTGTATTAAAAATTAGGGTCTGCAGTCGATATTTCCAAAACTAGTTCCACCTATTAGCAGTTATGGCATATAAGTTATTTACATATTCCTAATATTTGACTTTATTTCAAAAATAAAAATCGGTCCCTAAATCTAATATTAAAAATTCAAATGATTGTTCTCTAACAATTAAAAATTTTGATTACCCTACAACGGATACTGCAAAAAAGTAAAATTTTTTGTATTTTTTTAATTTTTAAATAAACTTTAAATAATAGACACTTAATATATTTCAAATAAAGAATAAAGGTTAATGTAATTTAATTCCTAAAATTAAAAAAAAAAAAAAATAATAATTTTAAACTTTTTTAACACTCCGACAGTATAAAGTAGTAAGAAAGAAAAACATCATTATTAACTATAATTTTCTTAACTATGTGAAACCTTAACTTTCATCAAATTTAACTAAATATCTGTTCATTAACATTTTGAATAGAAACTTAGAAAAATGATAGTTGTAATGGTATAGTGCAATAAAGTCAACGATAATAACGTCTAACTAATATTTTTTCAAGAAAATTATTACATAAAAAGAAATCAAATCACAGATTTTATTTTAAAGTTAGAAAAGTTTATCTTAAACTTCAAAAACCAGAAAAATCATATAAAATGTTTTGTAATGTTGTATGAAGCAGTTGAAAAAATTTATTTAGGATACTAGGACAAGCATTACGAGAATAGCATACAAGAAATTTTCAAAATATGTACAAATTAGAAGAAGCCGGCATTATTTTTATATTTTTTGTAATTAATTATTAGTTAAAATAATTTTTTTTATAAAAAACTTAATTTCTATTTAATTTTTGGATTTATTTCACTGCGTCTCTGTATATTTAATAGATTGTAACACAAGCAATGGGCAAATTTCATTTAACTTAATAAAATTATCCCAAAGTTCAAACTTCCGTTGAAAACTCAAAATAATTAATAATAAAAAAAGCAAATATGTATATACTATTTTATTACAATCTTACAAACGAATATTAAAAAAGAAGCACTTTCAGTTTTAACTTTTTATAAAAATTAGCATATACATACTTACCATTTGGAAGAAAAATACTCAATTTTCAATGATATTTTAGTTAATAAAAAATTTTTTATTAAAGTGTCAAAATTTTAAATTTAAAATTTTGTAATTGTTATATTTTATAACTGTTATATTTTGTAACTGTTATATTTTATAACTGTTATATTTTATAACTGTTATATTTTGTAAGAGTTATATTTTATAACTGTTTATTCTAATAATTCTATAAAATCTGTGCAATTTCACTTTCTTCCTACACTTGCTAGCCATTACATAATTATTAGAAAATTTAAAAATTTAATTTATTTATCATATTCAACATTTTAAGCCGCTGTAAAGCAATCATGCCCATTTCAATTAATTTTTTTTAACACAATTGGTATAAATACATTCAATATATTTCATATATTATGGTAACACTTTTTTTATACAAATTTTCTCATATTACCATTAATATAATACATAAAAAGAAAAGCAAAAAAAAATTGCGCATGCATAAATTTCAAATTTTCACATTGAGTTGAGCCACAATGTCTAATTTGTATTAAAGAAAGCTTCTGAAATGAATTTGAAATGAAAATGGTTTTGATTTCAAAAAGATTATTTTCTCATTGAGAAATGAAAATTTTTTCAATGCATTGTCATATACATACATACAAACACATGTTGTATACATGAAAATATATTTTGTGGTTATGGTTTGAAAATTGTGAACGAAAATTTTACATTTTTCCATAAAATAGGAAAAGAAAAAACATTTTTTTTTAATTAATTTTATGTGCAAATTTTCACCTAATTTTTATGTTACCGTTACGCAAAAATATTAGATAAATTTGATATAAATATATATATATATATATATATATATATATATATATATATATATATATATATATATATATATGTATATATTAATATATATATACATGCATATGTAAAACCGTTAGACCATATTAAAATTATTCTTTTGATGTAAAACTGTAAATTTACTCTTTTAAATCATAGTTAATAAATAAAGTTAGGAGTTACTCAATAACAAATAGTATTGTTTGTTTTCCATATAAAAATTCGTGGCACTTTAATCGGTTAACACGGTGATGCATAAACCTCTCAAATAAGTACATCAACTCTCATTGTACATACATACATTCCGCAATCTTAATTTTTTAATGAAGTTTTTGAGGTTAAAGATAGTTTTTACTCCTAACTATATAACAGAAATTCTGGAGAACATAGCGTTCTATTTTCAAATTGTACTACAATATCAAACAAATCTTAAGAACAAATTCTTATTTTATTCCTTATTATCTCTTAACTAATATACTTTTTCAATTTACAACATTTCCTTACATATTTTCCATTCATATAACTACTTTCATCCATTCTTTTATATTATACAAACAATTAACTAAAAATTACTACACAAAAAAACTGCAAAATGAAAAAAAAAATTAATGCGGACGAAACGGTATCACCATAAGGAGTAATTTTCATTAAATTTGAACTGTCAAATGACACGGAAAATATACTTGTATATATATACATATAAATGCATTTAAATGTATACAATATCAACTTGTCAATATACGTATAACAGTTTATTTGTTTACTTATTGTAATGTGATCTAATTTTTTTTGTGTATTTTTTTTTGATAATAATATGATTTTCTCCTAAAAAACAAGCACCAATGGAAATCCGATATTCATCAAAAACAGAAATTTAAAATTTTAAAATTTTTGTTTTAAAATTCAGTGCTTCTTTTATAACAGTTTATTTATTTATTTTTTTTTAATTTTCTATTCTCTATATACCAATTGTATCTTTATTAATGAGCTAAGCACTATATTGCATACATTTTATATTAAAGGGTATTAAGTACATAATATGGTTCATGAAATTCTGAACTTTCTAAACTCTTTATCTTAATATCAAAATTAAACATACTCGTATAATAGGCATAAATCTATGTATGTATGTATATGCATTACATAGTACGGTAATATTAAATTTTATTGCTTTTTTTTGGATTTTATTTTAAATTTTGTACCTATATATGTTTATACATTTTCATTTTCAGTCATTTGCATTTTATTCTCTATATATATATATATTATTATTATTTTATATTATCATTTATATCTGCTATACTTTTGTTACTCTAGAGCTCATTATGCTTCAATAAAATGCATATATTTAGTTATTTGTCTATAAATGTATGTATTTGTCTTTATTTTCCAAAAGAACTTTAAAACAAAAAATGAAACAATTAATTCGATAATACAGAACATTAGAAATTGCCCAAAAATTCGCTTGCAAATATTTAAAAATAATGGAATCAAAAATCATTTATTGTTCGGAAATAGCATTATTTAAATCCGAACTGTTATATTGTGTTAGGCCCATTCGATTCGTCAATTATAAACAATTTTTATTCAATTTTGAAAGGAATACAAACGATTGTACTTTCGGTAGCTCCCAAAAGAAAAAAAATTGAAGACGTGATATTGCAGGATCTCGAATGCCTATTAACAGATCCGAAATGTGAAATTAATTTCTCATAGAACCCGATTAATTTCGCATTTTCAGTAATTTGAAAGCGAACAAAACTGTGGCGATTTGACATTGACAATATTGTGAGGAGCCGCGTCTCAAAAATAAGAACACAAAAAACCAAACAGCAAAAAAATTACCATGTACATCCAAATATCTCTAGCTTTTACAATAAATGCACAATTCCATTCTAATAAAAAAAACCCCAAATCCCTTCTACATGCAATGTTCAACAAGGAAATTGGAAAATAGTTGAACGGACAAACATTTAAGCTTTTGCAATAACAAAAATTTTAATTTTTTATTTGCTTCTTTTGGTCAAACAATGCGTTACAAAAACAAAAACAATAAAAAAAAATCTTTTTTTTTTCCTTTATGGTTTCTTTTTTATGCTAGAAAATAACTAGTCAGTTCAAAACTGACCTTACACTGTATTAGATTTGCTTACCTTAAAGTGTGTACAAAAATAATAATTAAAATTAATATAGAATAAAATTATTATAAAATTTAAGAAAATAAAAAATATATTGAATAGTTTTGTGTGTGATTTAATTAATAAGAGATTTTTGATAATTTTTGTCGTGTTTTTAATTAAAAAATAATTTGTCATATTATTATTTTTAAATTTAAATATAATTTTAATTAAACGAAAAGTTGCCAGACTATAAAAACTAAACCACACCATGAACTATAAAGTAATTATTATTAGTTTTTAATTTAAAAAAATTAAATAAATTAAAAATTTTAAGAAAATATTAGATGAAATTTAAAATGCTTTTATTGTTGTTAGTTGAACAAGTTTTTTAATTTTTTTGAAAGATTTCTGAATTTTTGTTGAAAAATTTGCAAAATTAAACTAAAAAAAAAAAATTGTGAAACCTGGCTTTAAAACGGAAATAAGTTTTTTGTGCAGATTTTAAATTTTACCCTCCCTTAAAAAATTAAAGTTTTAAATCAGTTTAAATGAATATAAAATTTTGGAAGCCATTAACAAAACAGTTTTTACAGTTTACATTATAATTTGCTAGCTAGATTAACTTTAATTGCTTTTTAATATTAATTGCAAAATTTGTAAAGTTGCCATCATTAATTGGACAATTCTGATGGTAATGTTGCCATCAATAAAATTTTCGATTAAAAACAAGAACTTAAGATTTTAATCTGGCAGCTTTTTTTTTATCCAAAATAAATTTTGCATGCTTTCCTTATTTTTCGCTTTGCCTCCCTTTTTATTTGAAATGGATATTTTTCATAATAGCTTTTTAACAAATTATTAAAAATTTTCACATCTACAAACTACATAAAAAATAATAAAATTTTTTATTTGATTATTTATGTATAGGTCAGCGAAGCTATTGAAATGGCATTAAAAGCAATTGATACCGAAACTCCAGATGATGAAGAAAAACCAAAAACAGCATCACTAAACATCAATGATGAAGAGCAACAGCAAAAAATTTCAACACAATTATTATTAGAAGAAAATGAAATATCAACAACAACAACTACAACAACAATTATAACAAATCAATTTAATAATAAAAATGAGCCAATATATGAAAATTTTAATGATACCCAAAACGTAACTATGTCAGATACAATAAAACAAAATTCATCTCCAATAAAACAAATACAAACTGCAATTACACAGCAAAATAATACACAATTAATAGGCAATACAAAACAATTACAAGATGTCAATCCAATTATAAATGCTCTAGCTGCTACAAGCTTAAATTCATATCCAAACATAAATACAAAATTTATTTTAAATGAAACGATTACAAAGCCAACACCAACAAATATTTTAGATGAACCATATTATTCTGTACCAAAGCCCTCTGAACCATATTATGAAGTGCCAAAAGCTCCAAGACCAATACCCGTTTATGAAAATATCGATTTATTTTATAATCAAATTAGTTTACAAACTGATGATGGTAATCTAACTGCTATGTTTAATAATAGTAATAATGTAAATGGTATTGATAGTTTAGAACCACCAAAAGAAAAACCACCACCACCACCAATCGATGATTTAAGCGATAATGATGCTGATGTTGATGATGAAGATTTAAATAAAAATGGTTACGGTAATGATTATCATACATACGAAACAATTGATAATCATAAAAAAAAATGTATAACAAATTCAGTTGACCAAATTGATGGTAATAATAGCAGTAATAATCAAAATCAAAAAGATATTCAAAATTATAAACCAGTTAAACGTATGAATTCAACGAAACGTATTAAAAAAGAATTAAGAAATAAACGTTCAAGCTTCTTAGGTATTGAAGGAACAAATGATGATGATAGTTTTTTAGAATTAACAGTTGCTCCACCACCTGATATGGTTAAGTTATTACAGGAGGAGAGACGTTTAGAAAAACAATTATATATAAAAGCGGGTCTTTATGATAGCTCAGATGCAGGTAATTATAATAATTAGTGAAAATAATCATTAGTCAAATATAATTCTTTGAACTATAAATAGAATTTATTCTTGACTCAAAAAATAAGTGCATAGACTTTTTCTAAAATTCTTTCTTCACTCTTTTAAATAAGTAGGTACGAAAATATCAATAAAACATAAAAACATTTAAAGTAAAACAAATGGAAAACAATGTAAAAATTAAATCGATCATAATTCTATTGCACCCCATTTACAATTTACTCTATACAATGAAGGATTTAATTGTATTAAAAACATATTCCACAATGGTAGAAATCAAATTTGTAAAATAAATTCAACTAAAAGACTATAGATAGGTAGACTTCAGACTTGTGTACTTATATTTCAAAATTTTAAAAGTAAGAGGTTTAGTTTACAATATAATAAATGCACATTCTGATAAACAAAAGGGAGCATTATCGATTTTCATTTGTTAGGTATCATTTATTGAGTATCATTTTTATGATGCAGAAAATAATTTTTAATCTACTGTACTCGTGTCTGTAATACATGTGTCTAATAAATGTTAGAGGGTTTCTTTTCATTTTCATTGACAATATTTAAATTTCATTGAACTGAATTTATTCATCTTATAATACGTTTGATTAAAGTTTGGAGACAACATTCTGAAATTGAATTTTCGAATGAGTACTTATGAATACTACGAATAATATTGATTTCTTATTGTTTCTCACACAAAAAATTTTTCTTTGTCGTTAAGCTAAAAAGATGCTTCTTATTATGCTTACTGAAATCATAAAATCTTTCAAAAATGTTTTAATAAACTCTAAATTCATATTTTACTTTCAAAAATTTAAAAAAAAAATTCAACTATTTAGAACATTTATTATTTTAGTATTTACGCTTTTAAACTTTAGTAAAAATAGTATGTGTGTTTTAGTTTAAATTTTTTCAATATTTTAGCCGATAGTCGCGATTCTGGTGTTTCTGAAAATCATTCACGACAAAGTAGTGAACCATTTACGAATTCATCTGAAGAACATGAAGATCTTCTTAAAAAAAAAGAAAAAGAAATAATAGAAGTATTGGAAAAGGAAGAAGAAAAACAAAAACAAAATAAAACTGATAATTGGCAAGAATCTCAATCGACATCAGATCCCGAAACAAAAATGCAGTGCATTGAAGATCAAATAAGAGAACAAGAAGAAGTTTTACGTGTTGAAAGGGAACTTTTACAATTAGAACAGGAGGAACTTAAACGTCAACGCGAAAATTTAATGTTAAGAGAAAATATAGCACGACAAGAATTACAACATGGTGCAAAAATGTTAATGTCAGCAACAAGAAGATCATTATTAGATATAAATACACCAATTCCACAAACAGCAGTTCAACAACAACAGCAGCTATCTTCTAAATTACCAATAGATGAAAATCTATCGTCTGCAACAAATGTTAATCATTATGCAAATTTACCAGCACATCAAATATATCAATGTGTTGAAACTGACTATCGTAAATCAATGTCAGATCTTAATGATTATAGTCCTTCAAGGCAAATGGCACATAATAATCTAAGTATTGTAACAACACTTACATCATCAATACCGGCTGCTCCAGCAAAACCAATACGTTCAAGTTTAAGTATAGATGCTGGAAATTTAAAAACAATTCCAAATGGTCATATTCCAAATTATATACCAAATGGTGGTGGTTTAGTTAAAATAGCAAATAGTCCAACACATAATAATAATATCAATGGTCAAAGTGCATTAACAAACACACGATTACAACATTCACAGTCTACTGATGATTTTGTACCATTACGAAATTATCAAATTAATACAGCACTTCATAATGGTGGTAATATGACAAGAAATACTTTATTAGCATTAAGTGCAACACCGAAACCAAAATATACAGATGCATGGGTGCAACAATCAACACAACAAAATCATAGTAAATTAACTCATCAATCAATATCAGCTGATAGAGCTCATGAAGCATGGTTAAATCAACAAAAACGTAAATCTGTGCCAGATAACTTTAATTATAATAAACATTGGCTAATACAAGAAGCTGAACAACGTCGTATTGATCAACAACGTGGTTTATCTAGACAAAATTATAATGGTGTTAGTAATGCAACAACAATAAGTACTAACGGTTGGACAAACAGTGCAATACAAAGAAATGGATCCAGTGATAATAAACCATTACCTGATTCTGTAATACAAACAATTACACAACGTGTTCAAAGTAAAGGTATTGGCGAAAGGAAAAGGTAATAGTTTTTTTACTCGAGCATAAAACTTTTTTTTTAAATTTTTAATTTTATATTTTAGACTTGAAGCTATTTCCACAGAATCCCTAAATTCATCATCAAATTCCATAATGAATTCGCGTACAGTTAATTCACCTATCAACTCATCCTCACATAACGACGGACAAAATTTGTCCCAGACACAGCAAGATAAAGTTCTTAGTGTTAGTGGTAGAAAGAAATGTTCACATTGCGGTGAAGAATTAGGTAATTATAATTTTTTTTTAAGTTTTCTATTTTAGGTTTTTTAGAAATATACAAAAGACATTTTTAACTTATTGTCGCAAAATCAATGTTTTTTAAAACTGTATTTTAAAACATACTTAAATAGGTTTTATAATATTTTATTCCATTTACAAACCAAAACCTGTAAGCTACTTGTATCTCGTTCTTTTTTTATTTTGTCAGAGAAATTGCATCCCGTTTTTTCTCTTAAAGCCACATACTGATGCAGAAAACTACATACTGAAAGTTTTCTTTCGGTGCATACAAAAAAATATGAAAAATCTGTTATACTAAGATTTACTGAGAAACCGTATCCGAAATATATTTTACAGCGAAATGCCGATACGTAGCTACTTATAAGAAAAGCAAATAAAGTTTTTCAGAAATTTTGCCAATTTTTAAGAATTATTATTGCAAATGTTCAACAAAATACAAAACACTCATAGTCTCCTAAGTTTAATTGGGCCTAATTTAGGTTGAAATTTTTTCTCTGGAAATTTTACAATTCAAAATAAATTAAGTAGTAGTGTTTTCTATAATAAAATACAAAAAATTAAATTTTCAATAATTTTTTCTTTTATTTTGTTTTTCTTATTTTTTTTTTTTTTTGGCCAATTACATATATTTAACAGACGATGATGAAAACTGTAAGAATACCCATACTACTACAAAATATGTAGTTTGGGTTTAAATATCTTTTGAAAAAGAAAATTTATATCAAGTAATTTAAATGCGTTGTTGTTTCTTATCATAAATTTTATAAATTTTATTATACGTAGTATTTAATTAAAGTTATTATAAATTATTATTTTACTTTAAAATGTAAAGTCGAAAAATTTTATTGAATATGTTAAATTTTTGTGTTTTTAATGGCGTAAATTAAAAATCCTTTATGTAAACGTGTATGTAAGAGCTTTACAAAAATTTTCCAAAACTATGTATATTGTAATTCCTATAAGAAAATGGCATTCTATCACAATATAATTTGATTTTTTTTGAAAAATTGTTGAAAAATTACAATTTTACTTAATCTGTTAGAAATATACTTAATTACATTGTTAATTAATATATTAATTAAAATATTGGCATAACATAATTTCTTAATAATAATTAAGAAATTTTAATTATTAGGTTCTTAATTTTAAATTTAACTTATTTATTACGTAATTTTATACAAAAATAATGGTATGTTATGTAATTAATTATTGTACATTCTATACGAGCAGACCTTGCTCTTCAGAGAAATAAATAAATAAATAAATAAAATATAAATAAACAACGTAGAACGGATTAAAAAAAAAAGGAACATAAACTTTTAGAGATTAATATTGTCTAATATAGAGATTGAATTTTCAGAACATTTAAAATGTGCGATAGTATGTCATGTATAAAAATTATTTCTTCCTATATGTAGATTTTAAGAGTCGTACTTGAATATTTTAAGTATTTTGATTATAAATAAATTTTGCTAAAATATATACCCCAATTTCTTTAATTTAAATAAATAAATGATTCCTATATTATAATATGATGTTAGTTCCCTTTTATGGCTTAAAAAAATAAATATTTTTATTAAATTTTATTTATATAATTAATTAATTATTATTTAAAATAAATTCTAATTTAATATATTTTTTCTTTTTTTTTTATACGAATGAAATTTTTAGGTCGTGGAGCAGCTATGATAATAGAATCTTTAAGGCTCTTCTATCATATTAGTTGTTTTAAATGCTGTGTTTGTCATGTACAACTCGGCGATGGTTTAAATGGAACCGATGTTCGAGTACGAAATCAAAAGCTTCACTGTCAAAATTGTTATTCAAGCGATGATGGCATTAAATTTAGTTGCGTTTAATATAATAAAATAATTTAAAAAAAAAATATATATATAAATCGCTTTTTTTCTTTTTTTTTTTTTATAAATAAATTAATTATATAATTAATTGAATAATAATAATAATGACAACAAAAATAATATTATTATTAATATTTTAATTAATTATTAGTTAACTACAAAATACATTATTAACATTTATATTAAGAAAAAAATTTAAATTTAAAGCATTTCGAAAATTTAATTAAATAAAAAACAAAAAGAAAAGAAAATCATTAATTTTAATATTTGTTTTTGAATTAAAGCTGCACTTAATTAACAATTCTAAACACAAATAAACATTTTATTTTTCAACAAAAAAAAAAAATTATTACAAAAATTTAAATAAATATTACTTATACATACTCGTACATACTATAAAATATTATTTACCTAACTTGTCCTGTTTTATAATTATAAAATATTTAATAAATATTATGTGCAGAATTTAAGAATTTATTATAAATATAATCTCTTTTATCAAATATATATATATATATACAATATTTGAAAAACTATATTATGCATGTATATATATATATATATATAATTAATGTATATATAAATCTTTTTACTTTTATTAAAAAAAAAACAAACAAAAATTAAACAATAAAATTTTATATCTATACTTTTATAATTATAGTTATTGATTTGTAACATTTAATAAAATTAAAAAAAAAAAAAGATAAAAAAAAATATTAAGTGGAAATTGTTATATAGTTTAATAAAATGTAAGTTTTATAGTTAATGATAAATATAATTTTTATTATTAAATAAAAAGAGAAGTAATAAAAACAAAGCATTAATTTAAAAAAAAAAAAGAAGAAAAAATTTGAATTTTACTTTGTAAAAACTAATGTTTGACGAGATTTTCGAAAATTCTGTTCTAACTTAGTACTTAATATAGAAAATGATCGATAAATCAAAACAGTAAAATCTTTAAATGTAGCATATTCGAAAAATTTGTACTACAAAAGAAGGACTTTCAAAAATCGTATATCATGCTTAAAGTTCTAAGGCATTTCCAAAAGGTGTTTTGGAAATGTAAATGTAAGATATACTTATTGATGTAATTACTTGATGAGTAAAATGGCGAGATATATGATCACTTTCTTAAATAATTGATAGTCAGGGTTTAGTTTAGGTGATAAGGCATATGATTGCTGTTCATAAATTTTTTCTTATACATATATAATATAATATATAAACGCATGTGAATTTCCATGCAAAGTAGGGTTCTATTTTTATTGAGACTGACGCTCCATTTATATTATTGTAGATACACAAATGTCTTTCTTAAAAAAAAACATATAAAAATAATATAAATGACTTAAATTAAACAACTTTTTAAAAATTAACAATTTTATTAAGTAGGTACTATTATAATATAGATATAACTACAGAATTCTTAAAATATCGTTTTATTAATTTTAGATCAATTAGTTGTATATGGTATGCATTATAATTATTTGCATCCATACATATTTTAATATTTAATCTATAATATTTGCATTTTTAATGAAACGGCTGTATCCCATTCGTGTGTTTCATCAAACTGTAAAACTTCTACAAAGTCATTACTTAAAGGACAATACTTAGATATAAAATCACCAGAAATGCTATATAATTCATTTTCGATAGTAAAGAGCTCGTAAAATTCCCTAAAATCAAAATATTATAAAAATTATTATATAAATAGAAAAAAATTTGAATATAATCTGCATACACATAAAACAAGCAGCTATATTGGTTAAGCACATCATTCGAAAAAATTTTGTGTTTAAAAATCATATCAAATTCAAACAAATCTAATATTTTAACTAGAAAATTAAGATTTCCAAATTACACAGCTACTGAAATAATTAAAAAAACAAGACCAAGTAACTAAAATGTAAGTTTCTAAAATTTTTTTTATTGAAACAGAATGTACCCAAAGCATATCGTTTGGAAAAATATTGAGCAAAACACAAACTGTCAATCAATCATAACTGATTGCTATCGGCTGTTGAACAGAATAAGTAATAATCAAAAATAATTGTGTTCTTCAGTTATTTTAAATAACAGTAATATACAGTAAATAGAAAATTAGCTACATTGAAAGAGTTCTTATTTACACAATAAGTTCATAAGTTCACGAAGAACTTGTAACCGTAGTCATAATTTTGTCGTAAATAAATATAATAATATTTCACACAGGGATTGATTTTCTGATATTTAAGTATAAATTTACTAGTAATTTTTAGCTGAATGTAGCGGTTTTTGGCAAAAAAATTTATATAATATGTATCATGTGCATGCAAAATGTACAAATATACTGCATCCACATATTAAGCACGTAGACGTATTTAAGTGAATTACCTTTCCTCTTGGAGATCGATTATTTCCCAAGTATTCATTCGGAAATCATACTTTTCGAGTGCATTTCCTAATCCTTCCGTACAGTAAATATGATTATCAATAACAGCACCACTACAATAACTATTTACTTGATTCATGCTTGATAATTCTTGCCAAGAACCAATTCTCGGATCATATCGTTCCATTGAATATAGGCATTCGTGATTGCCTTCGCCACCCATTACATAAAGACATTTTTCTAAAAATGGTTATAATGGGAAAAAAACATATCAATATCAAATAAAATCTAATATTTGACAGAAAAATTGTAATATGTATCTAAAGTACTTATTTTTGGTCATACATATTAATGTCTGATAAAAAATCCAAGTTTACAAATTTCAAATTTGAAAAAACATTTACTATTTTACAGTAAAATATGCAAAATATGCAACTCCCTTTTTAAAAATTTTTATTTTAACTCTAAAAATTTAAATTAAATTAATTAATAAATTTAAACAAAATCTGCTATTTAATCTGACTGTGATGAAAGTCGTGCATGTACTCTATTGACTGAATTTGTCTAACGACAAATAATAAAAATTAATTTGTTCTCACCAGGCTTTTTGTGAGTAACTGGTGATTTTAATTTTGGTAATAGTTTTCGTAACAAAATTTAATTTTCGTTGCAAAATTATTAAAATTTGACGTAAGTTCTGCGTAATCACATAATATATGTAAACAGTAACTAAAATTTTGCAAAACAAATCAATACTTCTCGATGACGTCATAATTTCAAATGTAAACACAATGCAAAGGACCTTGTAAATTTTTTCACTATGTCATGAAGTTTAGTGTCAGTTTGGAAAATTAAATAACAATCCCACCAAAAATCATAACAAACCAATTCGTTATAGTGTTCAGTAAAAAAGTTTTATTATTAAACTTAATCAAATAGTTGCTTAATTAATATTTTTACATTGTTTAAAAACAATGAAAGGAAAGCAAACGAAATTAAATTTTAATGACTTTAGGGAATGTTGCGTTCCAAATTGCATAGGCAAAAAGAAAAATTCCTCAAGTTCCAAACTCATAAGTTTTCCTCGAAATCAAGAAATAAATGCAATCTGGGGGTTTAATTGTAAAGTTGACAAAACGAGAGGAAAATTTATTTGTCTTTCGCATTTTGAAAAACGATTTATTGGTTTAAATACACTTAAACCCGATGCTCTACCTACTATTTTTGATTGGCATCCAATATTCAAAGACCTTCCCAAAGAGGTAAAAAGGAAACCCCATTCTACTAAAAGAAAATGCTGTATTAAAGATTGTGTAGGTTCACTCCAAAAGCGTGCATTATTCAAATTTCCTGAATTTGGCGAATCAACAAAGGACTGGTATGTGAATTGTGGGTTTCATAAAGATTGTAATGTTGAGGATAAGTTCATTTGTGAAAGACATTTTCGTACTTCCGATTTGTATGAAGGGAAATTAAAAAAAAATTCGGTCCCCGTCTTAAATTTAAATAATGTTCGGGATTATACTAATAAAAAAAACATGAACAATAAAATAGATGAAAATAAAGACTTAACTCCTGATCAAGAAAACATTAAAGGTAAAGTACCTACTTAGGTAAACATAAAAATTTAGCAAAAGTATTATTTTAATGAACAAATAGTGCCCTCTAATATTTATGTTTTTTTTTTTATTTAAATACGTCTATGTATGTATATTCGAATTGAAAATTAGCAGTTACTTTTGCCTTCTCTATATAATGAGTAATGACTAACGGAACTATATTTACGAAACTATGTGCTTCCTTCGTAGATATATAAAATACATAAGTATACCTATCCGCAAATTTATTTGTATATGTAGGTACTTTAAAAATTTCTATCATATGTTAATTTGATTGCAGATGAGGATTCTTCAAATGTTTTAGATGAATCTCTCCAACCGATTTCTATAGAAACTGCATTTGAGCTTTTATCAGACACAAAACATGATTTGATCGACTTTGATCCAATTGGCATTACAGCTCCGTCAATTTATGCTACAAAAAAAGGGAATATGTTTATAGAACCAGCATCGGATTCAAATCCTACAACTTTGCTAGACGCTGAAGAAAATATTGTAATTGAAAATGTTCCAGTAGTTGAAGAGCCTTACATCATATCACCACTATTAAACGAAGAAAATTCAACTACGACAATAAATTTAACAGAGCAATCGCCGACAAATTCTGATTGTGAAATTTTGTCAGACACAGAGTGCGATAACGTTCTTTCATCTCAACAAAATGTTTTGGAGAATATGCAAAATTCTTCTGATAGTGCTAATTATTCATTGGATTCTACAGTTCGAAACACAAATATTGAAATTTTTTCGAATGTTGAAAATACTATAGCTAATTGTAATCCAAACGACTTTTATCCAGTTGACGATTTATCGGATCCTGCCAAATGGCCTGAATTAACCGATGAAATCATTAATAAACTTATTAGAATCGGGCCAACTCAAATAGTCAACTTTAAAAATACAGGCCAATTCGGAAAATTTGATCCTGTACATTATCAAAGAAGGTTAGTCAATGGAAATACAGTTCCAAGACCTTGGTTAGTATACTCTATTTCGAAAAATGCGGTTTACTGTTTCTGTTGCGTGATATTCAAGAGAAATGAAAACATCATTGAACAAATATTTTGCAGAAATGGATTTAATGATTGGCAGCACATTTCACTATGGCTCCAGATGCATGAGACTAATAAAATTCATGTTCAAAATTTTAAATCGTGGAAGCTTTTAGAAAAATCAATGATAAATAATCTCAATGAAAATTGCATATCAGAGAAAAAATCTGAAATTCTTTTTTGGAAGAAATTAGTTCGCAAACTTCTTCCATTAGTGAAATTTCTTGGTATTCAATCCTTACCTTTTCAAGGCACTTCAGAAACTTTACATAAGACGGACAACGGTAATTTTTTAAAACTTGTAGAGGCTTTCGCGGGAAATGATGAAGTATTAAGACAACATTTAGAAAATATAAAGGCAGGGATGCAAGAGGAATATATAGGTAAATCCATTCAAAATGACTTAATTCACTTAATAGCTAATTCGGTTAAACAAAAAATTGTCTCTATGGTTAAAACCGCAAAATATTATGCAATTATAGTAGATTCAGTTTCTGACAAAAATCTTGTAGAACGAATTAGTTTAACGATCCGTTTTGTACACCAAGAAAAAAACAATTTTTATGTAAAAGAACTTTTTTTGGGATTTTTAGGAAAAAAGGATGAAGTCGGTGAAAAATTATGGGATTTAATTTTACAAGAATTAAAAAAATTACAGCTGTCAATTAGTGATTGCAGGGGGCAAAGCTACGATTATAATTCTAGTAGAATAGTTAAAGAATATAACATCATAGGAAAAAGTAGGGTTTGGGACACAAGAATTTTTTGTGTCCCCAGTAAATCACATAACATAAATTTTGTAGTAAGTGATTCTTTCCGAAGCTGCTCTTTAGATGCTATTGAGTTATTTGAAAGTGTGCAAAATTTATACACATTTTTAAATTGTTCATCAAGTCGATGGAAAATTTATACGACAAAATTTCCATTTTTTACTACTTTGGAACCTCTATCAGATATTAGATGGGCAACTGAAATTGGTGCATTAAAGCCATTAAGGTATAATTTGAAAGAGATATATGAAGTATTACTCGAAATTTCTGATAAAGAAAGTTTAGAAATAACAATTGCTGTCGAATCGTTAGCAAACAAAATTTTTAATTTTAAATTTATTTGTAGCTTATTCGTATGGTATGATATTTTAGAAAAAGTAAATGGGGTTAGCATTTATTTTCAAGAGAACTGTATTTGTTTATCTTATGCCATCTTATTACTAGAAACTACAATTCAATTTCTTATGGGTCTTAAACTCGATCAAATATTTAATGCATACGTAAGCGATGCTGAAAATTATGCAAAATCTCTACTTATACCACATACGTTCCCAATTCAAACGTTTTCAAACTTTCGTAAAGTAAATATATGTATGGAGGATCCAAAATGTAGTTTCAAAACAAATTACTATTTAAAAATACTAAATGAATCTATAGATTCCCTTAAAGAAAGATGTGAACAACTAAAAACTCATGCAAATTTAATGTCCTTTTTAATTGATAAAAATGGGTATGATAATAATGTGAATTTGGGGAAGTATTGTAAAAAATTAGAAACTGCCTTAACATACAATGGATCAAAAGATTTAGATGCTCAGGAGTTGGAATCGGAATTAAGAATTTTATCTCCGCTTATTGAACCTTATCAGCCAGTTATAGAAATCCTCAACTATATATTTCAATCGAATTTAGCAAATGTATTTCCGAATACTGTAATAGCCTTCACAATATTAAGTACGTTATCTATAAATGTAGCGCCTGATATATCAAAATCAAAATTAATTAGGGCTTATTTGAAATCAATTACAACAGAAGATATTTCAATAGATTTGCCAATTTTATCAATAGAGAAAGAAATTGTTGAAATGTTAGATTTTGATTATCTTGCCGAGGAATTCGCAAAATCAAAAGCCACCTCAGACATTAAATGATTTCGTAAAGACTGCGCACCGCATAATTAAGCATTCTAACGTTGTATTCCAAGTTTTAATATGAAAAATTAAAAACAAATTTTAAATTTCTGAAGAATATAAAATAAAATATGAGGAAAAATAATTATTTTGTTGTGCTCAAATATTTGGACGGAAAATGTATTTGTATTCTGTAGCTTTGAAATAAAGTAGCTTTAACATTACATTCACTTTTTGCTTTTTGAAATGCGATTTTCTTTTGTTTTTTGTGCAGGAACTTAAGCTACATTGCAAGTTAATTGGGAAAATAAATTAGTTAACTTGATTAGCAAGAACAGAGATATTTATTGCATTGCAATTAATAGCAAACGTTTAAAAAAAGTGATATCCACGTTGCCGTTAGACTGCATACTGTTGTATCTAATATTATATGTATGTAATCTCTTGGATTTCGGCTCACATTAATAGTGCACTTCATTGTATAAATTGAAGGTCTCATGCCACTTTGATTCACTAAAATATTTTACATCGCATTTTCTTCGTATCTGGTTGTGGATAGAAAATTCAAAAAAGAGCCCTAAACAAGTAAACTACATTGACTTTGGCTCATTTTACAAAAAACATTTCATAATTTGGACAAATTTTGATAAAATTACAAATTTTAAGGCACTACTGTTATCATTAAATCTACTACAAATTTAAGCTCAAGTTGAGGCGAAACTCAAATCTTTTAACTGCAATTCGTCACGTATCTATATCATATGATAACCCAATACCATTTTTTAACCCAATACCAAATGGCAACCATTTTTTAACGCAATTATTTATATAAATTTAAAATTATAATAATAAATTTTTAATTAATTACCGTGTGAAACTGCTGCCATTGATCTTCTAGCATCTAACATTCCTTGAACTTCAATTGGTTGGGATGTTATTAAATCTAAGCACTCAACACTATACATAGGACCACGATAATCATTTCCACCAATCGAATACAAAAATCCATCAAGAATGCATGATCTATGATGCGATCGTGATCTTAATAATGGAGTTAAAGGTAACCACCGATTTCTATATATATTATAATAAAAAGAAGTATCTCGGCTTGTTTTTGGATGCGATTGTCCTCCAAGAACATACAAAAAATTTTTATAGCCTACAAAACTAACAGCAAATCCTTTTTCTGGTAATGAACTTAATGGCCACATTTCTTTCGTATCCATTTCAAATCGTGATAAATTTGATGTTTTACCAATTTTATCTAATATAAATATATTATATTGATTATTAACATTTCCTAATGCTTTCGATGTCCATTCAGAACATTCTGTACTTGATATAACAATATCAGTTGCTTTAACCAAATCATTACTAACAAGTGATGGATGTATAAAATTTAATAAATCGGGTAAATGAATTGAACGATTTTCTGGTGCACATTGTACCCATTGTAAAACCCCACAATAAATTACATCTTCAGCATTATCATAAATTTCATCATTTAATAAAATATCACATAACTAAAAAGATTATATTCATTAAAATTAATTTATTACAAATTTATTATAATTTTTTTCATTACATTCGTACCTCTTCAATATTCAAAGATAAGAATTCTTCCCCTCCAGATACTTCTTGAAAATGTTTTGATATAAATTTAACAGATTCATCACTTAATTTACAACATGCATGTTGATCTATATAAAAAATTATATAAGATTTTCAATAAATGAATCTTATTTATCTTAAACATTTAAAAATTTTATACAAACATGTATAATTGGAAAAAATTAAACAAACATAGCTACATATGCAGCTATACATACCTGCAAATTGTTTTATTCCTAAACAATTACTTATATCTAACGATTTTTCAAGGAATTCACAACATTTATCTTGTATCCATGAAATTTGTAAAAATGATGATGTAAATAATAAATGCTGTACATTATCAGTTGTTATACGTATATTTCCCGTATATAGATATTCAACAACTAGTTTCAATGATTCATAATCAATATCCTTTAATGTTATAATTTTTTTACCACTATCATCAAATGCACCTGGAATAATATAAAAAAAAGTTATGTCTATTATCTATTGGATCTAGCAAATTATTACTACGCCGTTGTTAATTTTTACTTAAACAAGGTTTCGACTTTCTCTAAAAATATAAGTATATTATGAAGTATCCGCAAGAAACACCCATAAAATGTAAGGAACTTGATCCAAACATAAACTGACCAAAGTCTGAATTATTGCACTATATACTAAATCTTAGATAGCAAACAAATTGGATTACTGTTTGTGGATTTATAAAATTTTTTTTTTATAAAACAAATTAAAATTCGCAAATTATGGCGAGGAGGATATACGTTAGTAAATTCTAATTGCAAATACTTATAATGCAATGCCAAATATGTATTTGTTATTTAAATTTAGAGTTCTGGAATGGCATCCACAAATGGAACAAGAAACACAACACCTAGAATACAATATCTAAAAAACATACTTACCATTAAACATAATTGCAAAATATGGGCTAGATGCTGACAATACATTTTTATGAGCTGGTATTAATTCTCCTCCAGGCACCGTCAATGATATATCACATAACTTTAATTTTCAAACAATAAAAAACAAAAAAAAAAAACAAAAATCTTCAATTAAAATTATTTATTTTGTTAAAATTATGGAAAGACAATGAAAATGTTTGCCGCGATACAAATTTCTTTTGCCATTACCGGGGTTTTTCGATAATTCAGAAGTGCACTAAAAGTTGTAAATTAAAATCTATAAAAAACTGAATATTTTAATTTTGCAGTTTTGTAATATACTCAAATAATTCTTCAATATCTCTAACATTTTTCTATCATTCTCTTTTTCTAATTTAGAATTATTTTTGCAGTTGTTACCAAACAGAAAAAAATCTTAAAAATTTCTTAAGAATTTTAAGCACATCTATGTCAATTTCGAACATGCTATTTTTGCAGTTATTGCAGTTTTGGATTTATCGAACGTGATTTTTATACTAAGATCTAAATTTGAACTGAATTAACGAAAATCCACCAATTCATACAATTCAATCGATTCATAATAAATAAGTCTTCAACTTAACTAAAACGTTTGTATTATGTTTTATGAGGCAAAACAAAAAAAAAAAAAATAATAAAATAAAGTATGAAATAAATTTTAATTTAAATACTTGATTATTTTCACGTAGCTCATTAAGGCCAGATAATAAATAATTACATCTGTCTGGATCATTAAAATTCATTTTTGGCGGGGTTTTTTGAAATTTTTTTTTTAATATTTTTGCCTTAATTTATGCAATAAATAATAATTTTTTTTTTCTGTTCAGTTCTTTTTTTTTGTTATACAACTATAAAGATAAAAATGCACTGTTATTATTACAAATATTATTAGTAAAATTTTATTTACAGTTACTTTTATAAAGTGTATATTATGTATATTTGTTATAAATTACATACATATGTACATATATATGCATATATATTAGGATTATATAGATTTAATATGTGTACTAAAGAAATCAATAATTGTCTTTCTTTTTTATTTTATTTTCTTTTCAAACAAAATTTAATGTTTAACAAAAATCCATTTAAAATTTTTTTTATTAATTTTAATTCTTTAAATTTTATACATATATTTTTTATTATATTATTTTTTATTGATTTAAAATTTTACTTTAACTTTTCTAGCACGAATGTAAAGGCAATATAATAAAAATTTTTTAATTATTTTGGAATATTCCACCAATAACCTATAAAATTTATTTTAAATGATGCTAATGATTTTCTACATAAATATATTAAATAGTTTAATATTATAATATACTTGTATCACTTGTATAAAAATAAAATTTTAACTAAAAGTAAATAATTTACTACGTATATGCAATAATATGCATAAATAAAAAAAAGAAAAAATTTTTAAAAGAAATTTATTTTTTCTTTCTGTTTTTATTGTCTGTGTTATAAAATCAGCTGTTATCAATTTAATTTATTCTGAACTGAGCATGTCCTTAATTAGGGCATTAAAATAAGTAAATATATATTAACATAAGAAATGCAAGTAAATACAAAATCTAAATATTAAAATTTGAAAAAATAATATAGTGTTATATTAAGAAGAGCCGGATGAAATTATAAAGTTTAATAAATCATTTTTAATTTGCAATTTAATTAAAAATTGTTTCAGAAACAAATTTAAGTTGTCTTTCAGTCAGGTTTTTCTCTCAGTTTTGTCTTACCTTAAAAATTACGATTGAATTTTATGACGTCTTGTATATTGCATGTAAAATAAAGGGCTCGCATCAACCAATTATTATTTATGAACGCCACATTATGCGTCATACAATTGCATATGCATTATAAATACATAATAAATTTATGTGAAACTATATAATATTCATTCCTCAATAGAACATACATATGTATATGTATAACAATATAGAATTTACAATCTTGTACTTGTGCATAATAATTATAGTAGCTGTTACTTTCCAAACGTTATTAGAATTTTTATGATTGATTTCTCTGACTTCAGTTACAAGATCAGAAAACTTTAAAGATTTAAATAAATAATTATTTCGTTCTAGATTTGTTCTGAACAAAGTTAGATAGAAATTATAGATTTGTTTCTGGTATTATGACCATGAATATTAGTCATTCCATTCAATATGAAGTTATTATTCTGTAAATGTTATCAGGACAGAGATAACTACATATTTGTGTATATTCATATTCATATTCAATTTTGGTAATGTCCGTTTTTTGGCTCCATTCCATATAGAGTTAAGATAGACTTTGTGAGTTAATATAAATGAATGTTATATTGAGTAAAGAGCTTCTTTACCACGAAGAATAAAAAAGAATATGATAAAATGCTACGAATATAATCGGTCCAATTAAGTTTATTAACGATCAGCAACATCAGGTAGCAAAGATTTTCAATAAAGGAAATTTTTATAGAATTATAAGAAGAGTTTGTTGATCTATAGACTTCATTGCAAAATATTCGTCTTTTTTATGTTTAGAGACAGACAATCTACATATGTTTTTTGATCCATTCTTCAATATTTTTATAAGATTACCACTAATCTGACTCCTCAAGGAACCCTCCGTTAAAACAGCATTGTTTATAATAGCAAAACATATTTGCATACAACTGAATCGATCCAGAAAGGTGGTTTAATCTTTTTCAAAATATGCACAGAAAGAAAAACGACAAAGAAATTTTATATTCTTAGATTAGATTATTTAAATTCATAACAAATTAACTAGTGTCGGTACATAATACAATATGTTAAATAAACATTTGTGAGGAATAATTGGGAAATTCGGAAAGAGTATGATTAATCATCAAGAAAAATATTTCACAATTATAGTTAATATATGACTACGGTATCGAAATTTCAAAGTTCTAATATGTATTCTTGTATGTATTTAATTGTGTATTGAAAATATAATTAAAAATAGTAGAAAAGTGTACCTAGCAAAATAAATATGTAAACTAAATAAAAAGTATGTAATTTTGTTTAAAAAATTTCTTTAATTCTTATATAATTCATAAATTTGGGTTTTTTTTAAAAATTTGTATAAAATTTTACTTACATAATAATATGAGATTGTTTTTAATTTGTTAAGCTACAATAACTGCTAAAGCAGTCAAATTTTCATAATAATAGAGAAATTGCAATGCACCTGCCCATTTACCTAACATTGTATCATAATAACAGAAATGGTCTGGAAAAAGTCCATACAGCCTCTCATTAACACAGAATAATTCAATTGGATACCTACAAATAAAAATAAACTTAATATATTCTTTTCTTGCAATCATACCGTTATTTAATGAATATTAAAGGGGCTCTACGACTTATGTGTAAAGTAATATTTGAATACAAAAATTGCAAACAGATTGATTTTACCGGTTATGGAAAAATTTGATAAGTAATTAAAAGAATAAAAAAAAAACAAAGTTTCACTAAGATAAAATTTTCGTATTTATTATTATTAAAAATAGATTTTTTAAACTTAACATTTTTTTTTTATAAAAACTATATCACATTGCTTAAAATCATGGTTATTTATATAATAAAATTAACAATAAATTAATATTAGAAATATTATTGTATCTATCTTTCCTATTTAATTTATAAAATAAAAATTATTCATCATTTTCGTCAATACCACCAACGTCTTCACGATTAACATCATTGGCATTATTTTCATTATTCTGAACAGTTTGTCTTAAGCTTGGTGCAATTAATACTGGAAGAGCCGTAAGATTATTACAGTCATAACGAAATCGAATAGATGGTGGTTTCCATTTTCCTGTTTGAGTTTCATATAAGCAAATGTTGCTTTTATATATACCATAAAGTTCTCCATTAATCGTAAATAGTTCAATCGGATAACTAAAACAACATAAAAGAAAGATATAGAAAGGGGTACATCCTGAAATACATGTTTTGCAAAGAAAGAACAATAAGCATGTTTTACGTTTCACTCGAAATTTGTGCTTTGAATTTTAAATTTCAAAGATTTGTTTTTAGCTTTTATATTATGTTTTATAGATTATTATTTGAGAAAAATAGGAGCTTGGGAGCTTTACAAATTAAAAAAAAAGTTTTATTTACCTGTTGAATTGAGTAATGATTTTTGTCCAAAAATCACCCCTAACATCATAACGTTCTAAACTTTTTCCTGATGTTAAGCAATAAATATCTTCTCCTATTGTAGCACAAGATGATATACCACTTTCATATGAATAAGATTTTAATATTTCCCAATTTCCTATTCTTGGATCGTATCTCTCAGCGCATCTGTATTTACAACGTCCGCGATTTTTTCCACCAATTGCATAAATAACATTATTATGTGCCGTCAAACCCATAGTTTCCCTTGGCTTATTTAAATCTTTTATTGTTATAGATTGCGCTAATACTAAATCAATATATTCGCAACTCGTAAATGCCGAATATCCACCATCTGTTCCACCAATCGAATATAAATTCGCATCAACAATACAATTTCTATGGTATGCCCGACTTGTATTTAAATTGACAAAGTTTTTCCAAGCATTTTTATATATACTCAGACATTGTGTTTCATTTGACACTGGTCTTTTAGATAAACAACCCCCAGTATGATAAATTGCTCCCCCATAACTGGCATAACTTCCATCAAAAAATTCACGTGGCAAAGATTCTAAGTCAGCATGAGCTTGAGAATTTAATTTATATAAGTCTGGTGTGAAATTTCCAGGATATTTAAATACGGCCACATCCCAGTTTGTTAAAACTGTAACATCTACGGGAGGTCTCTTATTACACCACTTTGTTAGGTCAAGTTTTTTCAGTTTTTTCAATAAACTGGAAGATTCCAAAATTTCCCTGGTAATGTGTTGGGGATTCAAATTTTCTAATAATTCATCTAAATGCTTTATTCTTACATCATAATCATGACTCACCCATCTAGCTATTGTACTTAATATTACATCTGGTGGATATGATGTAATTCGTTTATCAGAAAAAAGTCTCTTAAATTCTAAAAAATTTATTTTACAAAAATCTTCACTATTAAATAATTTATCAAAATTTTTTGCAATAAATTCTATTAAAGCATCACAAAGATTTTTTAAAGAGTGTTTTCCTAAAATAAAAGGTCAACTTTTATATATTGTAAATTTCAATTGCATAAAAAAATTTATTTACCAGCGAAGCAGATTAAATTTAAGCAATTTTTAACAGATGTTTTTTCTTTTATATGTGTTAAACATAAATGGACAGCAGAATCGACTTGTAGAAATTGGGCTGTCAATAAAACTCTGTCAACATTGTCTGAATCGAATGGTAATTGACCAGAATACATATAATTTATTAATAATTCTACCATTTCTTCATCTACATCCTGCAATGTTACTTCACTATGATTGTTTTCGACAAAAGAACCTTAAATAAAAAGCAAATTCAAAAATGTCGTTTTTAAGGAAATTTGGAATTAAATTGCAAATTCTATTTAAGTAAAGGTAAGACTACCAACTTCTAAACTATTTAATTCAAATTAATATTACCTGTGAACATAGCATTAAAATAAGGACTGGCCGCACATAAAATAATTTTGTGAGCGCGAAGTTTTTTCGTCCCAGCTATTATTGTAACATCAAAAAACTAAAATGATTATATTATAAAAAATTTTTAAAACGGAAAAAAAATTTGAATTAAAAATTACCATCTGTTCTTCTCGTAGTCTGGTTAAACCAATTAAAAGTTCATCAGATATTTTCTTCTGCTCCTAAAAATTTGAAATAATTGTAACTTTAATAAAATGTATAAGTACAACAAAATTTTTAGATCTTGTGAGTCCTAATACAAATAAACTGAACACCATTTATTTCTGCTCGTAGCTTATGTTTAAATCTAGCTGAAACCTTAGAAAAATGCATACCTGAAGTGTACACATTTTAAAGTGTAAAAATTGCAGTTGATATAATTAAAAATTTTCTGGATGGATAAGTTCATCCAAAAACTTCTGCCCACATTACTCACACAACAAAAATTACGAAATTCTCAGTTTCCTTATTTGTGATACAAATAATTTACTTAAAAACAAGTTATTTTGTTTATAATGAAACAAAGAATATAACGTATATCCATATGTTATATATTCCTTTAGTATAGATTCGCATTTACATAAGAATTTATTATGGGAATTCTTGAATTCAATTGAATTGGAAATAAACAATTGAGTCATCGTATGCATGTTGTATGTATGTATACATAATTATAAACACATATCAACTTATTTCGTCACTATTACTTCATCAGAAACTTTGTGAATCCATTGCGGCGATCCCCATTTCATTATATACATACATATTATGGAATATTTTATAAAGATAAAGATAAGCTGTTTATAACTTCATGACAGTATTTTAATCATAAAATTTTTTAACATTAGAAATTTACTTACAAGTGTTGTATTATTCTTCCTTTTTTGAGATGGTACTTGACTAGATTCACCCTCACTCTCATCGGACGAATCCGACCCAGAATCATTGTTATTATTATCCGCCCAATATTGCAGTTCTCGCATCATTTTGCTGCACTATTATTTTAATTTTTTTAAATTTAGAATTTTTATATGTTCTAATTGTTTTTTTATATTCCCGTCCAAATAAAACAAGTTAAAAATTAGTCAGTATGTGTGTGTGTATTCTGTGCCCGTAGTTATAATTACCCACTTTTTATAAATTTATGTAGGTAAATAAGTAGAAACTAAATTGTTGTAAATAATAATTAGAAAATTAAAAAAAAAAACGGAACACAGAATAGGTACAAAACAGTGTTTTTTGGCAATTTTTTGCTTTTTCCCTATTGAATTCTTGCTTTTCGACCGACCAACACAAGTTAAAAATTCCGATGTGTTATGAAATGCCAAATGCAACTTAACAGCTGATATGTGCTATCTTATAAAGGAGAATTTTGTTAAAATTCTATTGAAAAGCTTCAAATTTTCAAAAAAGCTCTTTTTCTTCTTACAAATTAATCCTAAATTTAGCGCAGAACAGATTGCGATTAATGCTTTCACTGTTGCAAAATTGGACGTTTTTGTTACTTTTCAATGTTGCTAAAAGGTAATTTTTAATACGTAATTTTAACATAACTATTGACAAATTCAAAAACTCTACTTTCTAACTTCACAAGATAAATAATTAAATAAAAATAATCTTTTATTTATAATGCGAATTCTTTTATTTCACTCATTCGGAATATTCCATTAAGTTGTCATTGATTATTCTACATCCATTCTTTCGATTCATTCTTTGAAACGACAAAATAAAAAGCGTTTTTTTTTCTTTAGCTCAGACGTTCAATTTTAGTAGCTTCGGAACTGCCAGACACAGAGCATACTGATTAAATGATGAAAAAAATTTTAATTTGAAAGTTTTGATTTTGAAAAGTTCATGTTTTTTTTGACTTACATATATAAAAGTTCTTTTTATTCTTTAAATATTTTTAGATAATCATTTTGATTAGAAAACATATATTACTTTCTAGAACATCTGATATTATATGACATAATCATGTTCATGAATGCTATGTAATATATCTTCTAAAGTGGTTAAACTTATGATATACGATTATATTAAAAAAAAAACAAAAAAAAAATTACTTATTAATTTGCTTGATGAAAATTTTCTTCCATGAAAATCTAAGTATGGAAACTTCAACTAACCTGTTTTTAATTTTAGTATTATGCAATTTTTGTACTACCTATCTGTTCTGGGCTTAATGCGTTTTTAACGTCAACCATTCATGAAAGAGTTATGAGTTATCGTATAAACACAGCTGATGACATTTTCTTTCTATCTGTCTGTCTTTTCTGTATGTCACATATTTGTGCGAATTATCAAAATAATGTCAATGCAAAAAACAAATTATTTTAATTTTTTTATTTTTGTTATTCCAAGTTAATTTTGCAAATTGCAAAAATATTTTTATATTTAAGTTGATCTTTTTGCACATGTAATGAATTTGGAAAAAAAATTTTGTTTTGAATTTTATTTTAGCTCTGCTATAAAAGGAAACTGGTTAACAAATTCCACAGCATGGTACACTGTATTATCTCAAAATGTAAAAATTTTACAGGAAGAAGAGGAAATAACGCTAACATAAAATACTTTAGGTTTCCAAAAGACAAAAAAATATTAGAAAAGTGGATAATTGCCTGCAATCGCAGTGATAAATTTAGTATCAAAAACGCTAGAGTATGCTCTGATCATTTTACAGAAGATGATTGGAGATTGCAAGATATATTAATGAATATTCCGAAAGGAAATAGAAAGTTGAAAAAAGATGCAATACCATCAAAAAATTTACCCTTTCAAATTGAACTATTGACAATCATGGAACGACAAGAAAAATGGAAAAAAAAGAAAATTAAAGCTTTGGTACAAGATATAGAGATGCATAGGTAATTTATATACATAGCTCGATTTTAATTCGAATGTTAAAACATAACTTTTAATTAAATACGTACATATGAAAATGTAAATCTAACCAGGTCTTTGTGTCAAAGCCGATATTTCATGCGCCAATATTTTTTTGTTTATTTAGATTAGATTTGGAAGGAGGTCAAGAAATTTTGAGTTATAAAAATGGGTTAAGTTCCGGCCAACAACCAGAAATAAATTCAATGAATGTTGGAAAAGAAAATGATGCGATTGGATCGGTTTTACATGAAGAAGAAATTGAATATTTAAACAATACAATTGAAAGCGAGAAAATATCAAATAATAAAACGGATGTACAAACTCAAACTGAGTACGTAAATGTGGTCAAACTAAGATTGAATTACACAAAATCATACACACAAATATAAAACATACATTTTAAATTTTGTAAATAGATGTGATGCTGAGTTCGCCTATAAATTAAAAATAGAAGAATTAGAAAAACAACTGGAAGCCTTAAAAAACTTGGATACGAAATGCTCAAATATGCTAGCATGCGAAATTACTCCAAAAGAAAGACTTATAGTATTAAACGATCTCATACCTAAAACCTTAATCCCCTCTAGAGGCTTATCTCCGCCCACTTGTCCATATTCTGTCAGTAAAAGTGAATTTGAAACAATTTGGTTTTAAGTGAATTACTTGCAATCTGTTTTATTGAACGTTAATAATATAGGTACGTAATTTATAATTCAGTTTATTTTTTGATTTTTAATTAAAATGATTTGTAGAAAATGAAGTGGAAGAAGGCAACAAAAAATTACAATTTATCAAGGATATCTAAAATGATGTATTTTTTAACGGAAACAGAAGACATGAGGATGAACAGTGTAGAAAAAAAAGTTAAAGGGTTGCAGTTGAACGATTTTAACAGTGTTACAACACGCGTTTTTCGATTAAGAAAAGCAATGATTTTTTTTAGTTTTTCTATTACAATTTCTTATACGTAATAACAATAAAATTTTCGTTATCAATAAGTAAAATGGCCAAATAAAATATATTTTGCTAAAAAATAAATGCGTTAAAGAAAATCTTTAAGTAAAAAAATTTGAAAATTTATTTGACAAGCATGATCAACATATGTCATTAACAAATCCCCTTGACATAGCAAAAGTATGTTTTTACTAAATTAAATGTATTTAGTAATTTTTCGCAAAAAATTATTACAAATTTAAAAATTTTTGTTTTTGATACTTCGTATAGCTTAATACAATAATAAACAATATAAAAATATGTACATCTTCACGGTGACGTAACATTAATCAGAGATGATAACTGTCATCGATTTTACAGCACATCTTGTAAATACTATTAGGCAATAAACATTTTTCCAATTGTTTTGTCATTTAAACTTTTCGAATTTCAAGCATAAAATATAAATAACAACTTAATAACAACTTTATTTTTGAAAAATAAATAAAAGGAAATATCGATAAAATTTTAAGTAATCTGACTACCATGAAAAAAATTCTTTCATAATGTAATAAACGTGTGAAAAATATACTATTGAAGTGTTATTGTTTGGCTAAAGATTTATAGAAGAACTTACAATTTACATTACATCTGATTGCTTACAATTTTAAATCATGGTATATGCTTGTGTGGTACCCGGATGTCAATCCAATTACCGATATAAAAATGGTTGTGTTAAAAAACATATACCTGCTTTCAATTTTCCTAAAAAAAAAGAATTGAGAGAAGCTTGGTTAAAAGCTATTCGTCGGAAATACTATATGGTAAATCAAAACAGCTCTGTTTGTATTTTACATTTTTCAAGTGATTGTTTCTCTCCTGATTCAAATGGAACACGTTTGTTAACTAATGCAATTCCCAATATATTTCCCATTGTGTCAAATTTGAATAAAAGAAAAGAAAATTGGGACGATAATCTTATTGGAAATTTTTCAAATTTATTAAGCGAAATTGAAAAGAAAGTTAATTTAAACCAGTGGTTTTTATATAACAATAAATATTTTGTTGTTTTGTGCCACTTTAAAAATGACAAACAATATGGATGTAAATTTAAATTTAGAATTAAAATTAATCGAGAATTACGAGTGCGTTGCTTTTCAGATGAATTCGAAGTACCATCAGAAAAATTTGAAAGTATTTTACCTAAAACAATGAAAATTGAATTTTGGAATCAACTTAGAAAATTGTTATGTTTTGTAAATAATATGGAACATATTACTATTCGAAATGATTCTTCATTTTATTTAACTCATGCTTTGGAATATTTACAAAAATACAAAGCATCAAAAGAAAATGAAAATATAAGATTTTTAGATATAGCAATGGATCAGATTAGAATGTTAACAACAAAACGTTTTAAATACAGTACTAATTCAATTAAAATGTCATTTTCTATTTTTAAATATTCAAAACCTTCGTATTCAATATTAAGTAATTTTCTCGCTGTTCCTTCTGATAGATATCTTCAGTCACTTTTAAATAAAACTCGTATGATAGAAAATAATAAAAATGAAGATCATATTAAAAATACTTCTATCATAGAAACTTTATCGGTGGAAAGAGTTGCAGAATCACCAAGACAAAATGAAATTGATATTATTTCAGAAGACACTATTGAATGGGTGGACGTTGATATGGTATCTATCTAATTGAAAAAAAGTTCAGAAGAATTTATTAGTAATGAAAAACATAGAAATTAGTTTTAATTGTCGGATAACATCGATAAATATATTTTTCAATTTTAAGAGTTCTGTAAATATACATTAACTATTGTATTTTATAATATTATGAATACATTTTTAGAAGTAATGTAACAATATACAGATATTAAAAAAAAAAATAAATTATTATATTAACAGGAAGTTTATACTTTACGTTTTTATAATTGAAAAATGTTAACAATATTTTAAATTTTTATGAATAAAGTTCATATTAAATACATATATTTTTTATCAATATCATTAATTATAAATTTTAAACTATTTTCCCAACATTTTCTGCTGTACTGGTTTTTATTTTTCTTCACAATCAAATAAAATGAAATTTTTGTAAAATTATTCATTAATAAATTCGGTAGCAAAATTATTTTAAAAGAAAACAAAATTTAGAAAAAAAAAATTAAGAATTTTTCTAAATTAAAAATAAAAGATATAAAAAAAATATTGTTTGTATTATTGTATTTCTATTATGGTAATTCTATGTACTTTATTATGTACATATTATGTACATATAATTACATAATTTTATTAATAATTAAAATAATGTTTTCAAACTTTTAAATAGGAACAGTTTTATGGTACAACAAATAAGTATATATTTATATAAATAGAATAAAATATAACCTAACGAATATTCACATAATTTGGAATAAAAGCAACTATTAGTCTATGGATTGTGCGAATTGAAAACATTTAATTTTTTGATGAGATCCTTTTATCTTCTAGACACCTATACACTTTCTTTGATAACAAGTTTTTTTTTAAAGTAAAATTTGATAATTTTTCATGAACATAATTTCATTGACTTGCTTATTATGTTCACATGTAAAAATATTTAGATTTTTCAAAATTTTTCTGCTATGTATGTACTTTATTATGTAGTCGCTTTACAAAGCATACATATTTATTTTTTTAATGCAGCTCAAAGAATACAATCACTTATTCTAGTTTTTGTTGTTGAAAAAATTCAATAAAGATGAATGAGATATTTTTGAGTTTAAGTATTCATTACAAAATAAATAATCTGGGCAAAAAAGTTGTCTCAAATTTTGGTTTTAGATTTAGTTCATAAAAAACCTTTGAAGATGTTAAAAACTCATCACCAATATTCTGTTAGTCGCATCACTTGAGGTAATTGTAAATAATTTTGTTTTTCTGTAAAAACCAAAAAATTACAAGTTGTCTCAAGGACAACAAATCACGTCAAGTGATGCGACTAAAAGAATATGGGTGTATGCCTTAGCTCCAATTTGATTTTTAGTGGGCATTGAGCGTATGACAAGCAATTATTGACAAATTAATCAGTATCTTGCAAACTAATTGCAAGATTTTTAATATCCAACTTTGTTAATTTTATTTATTCTTTTCTTTTAGATCTATTTTGTATTGATTGTATTCGTGCCATTTCAATGAATAATTTAATTAATTTTAGCTAAACGTTATAAATTGAATGTGAAAATATTTTCATTTACTTTACATTTTTTATGATCGACTAAATCCACCTAAATAATAGGTGCATATTTTAAAATGTTTTTCAATTCGTACACAATATTATGTTTTTTTCTTAAAATTTAAAATTTTTTTCTTCAATAATAATCCAATATTTATTTTTATAATTAAGTATATACTATTATAAGCTTGGTTAAAGTGCACTATATTTTATGCAATTACAATTTTTCTATAACTTTTTCTACCTAATATTTAATTATCCATTAATATAATTTTGAATTTTAAGTAACATTTTAAATTTTCTTTAAAAAATACAATAACATATGTGGGTTATTTAATTAATAATATTAGAGGTGATTTATGTAGGCCGATGATTTATTTTATTATTATGTATGTGTTTTAATTTTATGGATTTATGTTTAATGTTTTGCAATATATATTTTAATTTTTAATGCAATATATAATTAAATTTATTGATATATTGCATAATAATGTTATACAAAAAGGAGAATACTTTGCTAAGAAAATATTTTCAATTTAATTGCTTTTTAAAATTTAAAATAAATTTGTAATAAGAAACGTTTTGTATTAAATTTAAAATAATATTTTTATAAATATTCAACTTTAATTTTTAATAAATTGCCTTAATATTACTTTCAATCGCAAAATCGATGAAATCACTCTTATTTTATAATGGTAGATTAAATTATGTGCGATGCTTTAAAAATGATATAAATTCGAATATATGAATTAAATTATTATGTGAAATATAAAAAAAAATTATGCATATGCATACGTAAATAATTTTTGTATAAAACGAATGTATATATAAATGTATGTATATGTTTTGTATATATGAAAATATATAAATAATATGAAATATTTAGATTGTTGATTGAAACAATCTGACCCTTTTTGTTTTGCTATTTGTAAAATTGCCTTAGTTACACTTAATTCTACATAAACTTAAGCTTTTATTGAAAACAAATAGGATTTGTTATTTTTAAAATATTTAGCAAAACCGTAATATGATTCAGAATCCATTTTTTAATAAAATTTATTAGATTTAAAAATAATGTTGATTTTCTATTTTATTGTCGACATGAAAGCAAGTTCTAAAAATTTACCACTTAAACCAAATTATTTCATTTTATTCAAATATATAGTTTTTATTTTTAATCCTCTTTTATATTTATCTGATCAGACCAATTTTACTATAATGTAACAAATAACAATTCCTTTGAAAACACAAAAAAAAAAAAATTAAATTAAAAACTTTCGTATACCTAATATGTTTATGCCACAAAATTTTTGAATAATTTCAAAAATGATTTATTACAATTTTATAAATATTTTTAACATACATACTTAAGAAAATAAAATTAATTTATTGCTACCTATATTATTAAAAATTTTTATTTTAATAAAAATATCATTTTATGAAATATTTTCAATTGTTTTGCAAATTTAAAAATAAAAGTGCACTCTACCATTCTTATAAATTAAATTATTTAATATTTGCTTTTCTGATTCCAATTTTAAAATTTTCTTATATTTAATTTTATTAATATTTATTTTATATCTTTATAATTTATAATTTAAACTCTTCCTACAATATATTAAATTTATATATATATATATGGTTTCATTCAATATTTAATTTTACATGTTTAATTCAAGGCGTTTTATATAATATAAATAGTGTTTTTAATTTTTAATTTAACAATAAGTATTTTAAAATATTGAATATTTTTAACTAATTTTTCAAAATACATAGGTACTGGTATATGTATAATTTTTTATTCGCTTGATTATAAATGCACTTCAGTTAAATTTTTTTTATAGAATGTTTTACTTATTTAATATGAAGATATACATATGTATGTATGTTTTTTTTTTTTTTTTGAATAATATGTCTATTACAGAATATATGTTTAAATATGTTTTATAATAGTTGCATACAATAAACTCGAAGTATTTATATATTTTTGAGTTTCAATTTGCAGTAGGTTCGCTTTATTATTTTTAAGTAACTTAAGCACGATAAATAATATAATATTTAAAATTAAGTACATAATTTTGAAGTGGTAAGTAAAACAATATATGTATAGACAGAGGAACACCAATTAATTATATGCAATGTAAGTACTTACAATTATAAACTTACATATTGTTATGGATGTTAAAATTTTATTCAGAGTGCTAAATATTCAATTATATTATTTAATATAATATTAAAACACATTGTTATTTTATGAAATTATTCAAAAGTTTCAAAAATTTTCAAAAGAAATTCCTAACATTAGAAAAAAAAAAATTATGAATTTTTACATGAAAGGATTATGGGGATTTTTTTGTATTTGTACAGTGAAATTACGGATTTTTAAAACCAGTCACTGTCCTTAAAACTGAGTCATATAGGTGTATAAAAACTGAATTTACTTTAAAGATGTTTATGTAACTGAACACGAAAAAATAATATACATATGCATGTATTTTTATAATTTTTAACATTTTGACTTTCATGTAATTAGATGAAGTAGATTTAGTAGTAAATTTTTACTTATTACATATTCCTTATTTTTGATTTATCCAAAACAAAATTTTGAATTGGAATGGAAACCTAATCAGATTATGCATTCCCAGTGAAAGAAAATTAGCAATTTTTTTTTATTTTGGCTCTCTTAACTAATAATATTAATCTAATTGTATGTATTATAAATTTCAAAAAAAGGTAAGATTTGTTTAGTATTTTATATGGACATGGTAATATAGCTTTTGTTCTTTCAATAAATATTATACATACATATATTTTTATGCAAAATGTGATATGTAATTGAATATTTGCAAAGATTACACACAAAGTAAAAGTATGTATGTTCTTTTTTAAATTTTAATATTATTATATTCAGTTCCTACCGAATTTCAATAGTTGTAATTATTTTTCGTGATTAAGCTAGAAAGCGTATCTTACCCACTTTATACTGTTGCATACAAAATTAACTTAAATATCAAATATTTTTCTAATCGTCTGTGTATTAAGATTTTATAATTAATAAAAATAAATTAATTATCAAATGTGTTTCTTAAATCATCTCCAGTCAAATATCAAATAATTTGATTTATTTTTTTTTTGCCTTGTTTTTGTTTATATTAAATATAAAATTTTATAATTTTTTTTTTTTTTGTAATAAAAATTTTAATTTATTGGAACATGAAATAGCTAAAATTCGACAAGTTTTCAAAATTGTTAAAAAATTTAGTGAACAATCGTCTTATGATTAAATGTGAAAATTCTAATGTTATACAAATTTATTGATTTGGTTATACATTTTTAGAATTATATCACGAAAAAATTTAATATAAAAAACATATTACGATACTAGTTTTTTTTTTTTTAATTGTATTTTCTATGATTTGTTCACAAATACTAAAATAGTTAACCCAAAATTACATTGACAAATCATCATCAAAATCATTGACGAAATCATTGAATAGCCATTTAAGCTACTTAATTTGATAGTTCATTTTTTCCATTTTTTGAACTAAGCAAATTAATGGTAATTCTCTATTTAGATTTTGTCTATAGTATTTTATTAACTGATGAATTGACTGGAAATTTTTCAATCATATATACCTATAATTTTCAATTTTTTTTTATTTTATTAATATAACTATTTAATTTGATTTTTAAAATTTTTTAAATACATAACTATTTTTTAATAAGTCCTTTATTTGGGCAGTATTAGTCCACGTATCATATCAAAACTATTACCATCTGGTTGTACAGAATCAACTGTACCATCGTTTGTTTGTACTTTTAGATAACCATAATCATCTATTCCAATAATTGTTGCATTTTTTTCAACATTATTTTTATTCATTATTTTAACTTCTTGATTGCTAAAATGAATAAATAAATATTAAAAATTTAATTATTTGAAATGATATTAATTAAAATTTCATATAGTTATTTTAATTGCGATTATAAATGTTTGACAGAGTTTTTATAAAAAAATCATGCAGCATAATACTGCAGTTGTTATTGTTTAGACCAAATCTAATTTAAAAATTTGGTGTAGCAAAATTAAATTGTTGTTTACATTTAAGGAGTCCATATGTGTGAAAAAATATTAGTTATTTTATTCATTAACTAATTTATTTTATTTATTGTTTATAATATTTTTAATTTCAGTCAAGAACATTGTTGTTTGTATTCATTGTCGTTATAATAAAATTAAATTTTTTGAATTTACTTACCTATGCATCCAATATTTATAATATAAATCATATACTTTTTTTAAATCAGATAATTCAATTAAATTAATTAATTCTTCAATATCATTAAATATTGAGGCAATAAATTCTTCATATCCTATTTGAGGAAGTTTTTTATGATTAAGACTATTATATTCGGATATAATATCATTAATACATGTTGTTGGGGATGAATTCGTTAAATTTACTCCAACACCAATATTACAAATTGCTTTTGATTCAACAACTGTTGTATTAACAACACTTCCACCAATTTTTGTTTTATTCGAATAAATATCATTTGGCCATTTAATTTTAATTTCCAAATTCTAAAAAAGAAAGATGTTAATTAGCATAAAGAATTTAAATATATTTAATAATGAATTCTCTAAATTTTTATATTTAATGCTTAGATGATTTTAATTTTAACAATAACCTAATTATATACCTTTATTATTTAAAAATTGATACTCAATTATATTTTTGCTTATTTTTGCTATGATAAAAATGATTTATTATCCAATTAGTTTAAGATTTATAAAATTTTAATAATCGGGATAGAATACCAAGTCGAACATAAAAATATTATGTAGGCTAGGTACTACCTCTTCTTCTTTCTTTTTTATGTAATTTTAATAATCAACGATAAGATTTACAGGTCCTAACTAGTTTTTCTAAATAAGAACTAATGTAATATATAAGATTAATGTTAATAATGTGTAAGAACATTGAATATAAGTAAGAGCACGGTGATAAATATTTTCAAATGTATTTGTAACGAAATGTTATTGAAAATTCTACTCGTATGTACCTATTAGTTGATATTTTAAATTCTAAAAATTTATTTACATATCTATACAAAAATGCGTCCCATATTATACCAAATAATTTTAACAAGAATAAACTGGTACTTTTCACTGATATTATAGGCCAGGTAGGTATATACATACTTTATGTACAATTTTGTGTATGTGTCTGAATTGCATAGTGCATATTATATAAGTATGTATATTTAAAAGTAAGACAACAATTAAAATTTATTTCAGTTTAAATTTAAAGTTTACAGAGAATAGAAATAATTTGTTTTAAAACAAAAATAACTTATTAAATATTGAAAGCAATATGTCTGAAGTAAGAACAAAATCTATTTGGAATTCAAAATAGTTTTTTAATTCAATTTTTTCTTTTTAGTTCAGTACAATTGTGAATGAACATTTTTTATTATTTGCCGGATCAGACATTATTGTTAAATATAATTTTTCATGTGAACTTATTGTTGTATGTCCGAGGGGAATTCTAGAAGATGTTGAAGAGATTTTAATGCAAATAAGTTTTAAAATAAAACCAAGTGATATAAAATATTTAAGAAAGAAATCTGAAATTATTGGACCATTTAGTATAATAAAAAATAATAAAATATTAACTTTTGGTCAACAAGAGGTTATGAAAATACCAAGTTTAAATATATTAACAAGGCATCGTTTACGTTGCTTGCTAGGATTAACAACAAAACTTTGGTTTCTTAAAGGCCTAGAATTGATTCCGTATAAATTTTAAATTTTTGCTTCAAAATTAAAAAGTTTTTATATTAAAAATTTAATAAATTATGCTTATTATAAATTATTTTTGTGTCTATCACTTATAAATAAATTAAATATTATACTTTTATATAGATTGTTTTTTTTATAATAATAGAATAACTTTTAACCAGTTAAAAGTTTAATTAGAAGGTGTTATAACTTATTAGTTTTGAATACATTACAGCATTTAACTACATATGTACATGTGTAACATATTTTTTACTTAAAATTTTAATGTTATACATAATTATTTAGTTTCTCATTATACTGTTAAACATAATTATTAACATAGGTAGGCAGACTCGACCTCATAATTATTTGTACTTACATGTACATATATCTTTTTTTATTTTAACGTTATACCTAATTACATAAAACATTAATCATTTCTGGTTCTTTATTTTTCTAATTATATACCATTGTAGTCCTATTTAACGATTTTCCGAATTGAAACAGGGATTGAGACTGTACTGTGTCTTCTCATGAATTACCTGTTGATAAATCCTTTTTAAATTTCTTTGTATTTAACAGACAGTGTCTTAAACCTGTATTATGCTTAAGATTGTATATTGATGTTTCTTATTTAACTACCTATAGGTTTTGAGAAGGTAGGACATAATTAATGATTCGCAGTTTGGTTTAATTTTAATATTAACTACACAATACACGTAGTCATAAACTCTATAATATAAAGATGCCTGTGGTATTGCAGAGCCTTATGAAATAAAGATGTTTGTGCTGTGACATAGTACAGCTACACATGTATTTAGTATTTATAAACATTTTATTTAGGTATTACTTATAGGTACGTATTATAGCATGCAATTGGCATAGTATATAAGTAAAGCCAGTAATTATAAACCGAATTTTAATTTAACAATCGCAAAATACCATTCGCGTAACTTTGAACTAAATTTGTTCGAAACTATGAATTTGGAGATTATTCCCAGGATGGAAAATATCAATTTACTTTTTAACTGTGTTAAGTAACAAATATGTACCATACAATTTGTTGTTTTATGTAAAGTTTACATAAATTTCCGAAAATAAGTTTTTGTATTTAATACTTTTGATGATTATTAATATTGCATAATGTTATTAATTTGCAAGTGTGCACAGGGCTTTTCTTCTACATCAATTGACGGAACGTGTGTTTTCGTTAAATTTTCATTTTTTCGATCAAATTTTGACGCAAAGCTGTCAAGTTATAATATTCAAAAATTGATTTTTCTTATGTATTTTCATGTAGAATAAAAGTAACTTCACATAAGGAAAAAAACTAAATTTGCAAAAATAATTGAATTTCTATTAAAGTATTATTTATCAATACAATATGTACATATTTTTCTTTTAGTAATTTAAGTGTACATTGTAAAATGTGGCGAATTTAGTTACGTAAATTTGGCTATAAAATTTTTTAGAAAAAATCTTAATTTAAGCCTCTTTAATTAATAAGTACACAAAATTTAATTTTTCATTTTGGCAATAAAGTACAATGAAATCAATAAATTAATGTGCAGATAAGTTGAATAACGAAATAACAAAAATCATGTCGAATTATTAAAAATAGAAAAAAAAATATTCCTAAAGAAAGTGTTGAAAAAAAATTTGAAACGTCAAAACGAGAAAAGTACTTATGGAGATAAGACAAGTCAAATCGATTGCTGTGCCATTCGGAGGATAACATGGCATATTTTTCGAAAGTCCTTGAAAGTTGGACATTAATTAGATAATAATGATTTTATATACAAAAAAGTTGTAATTGAATCCAATATTTTTGTCTCTAAATTTTTTAAAATTTTCATGTTGACTATTTTTTTGAGTTATTTAATCTTAAAAAAAAATGTCAATGGACCCAAACGGCCTCGATGTGCTTCAAAGCATGATCGATATATCTGCAAAAAGACTGGAAGGTTTAAGGACTCAATGTGCCACAAATGTAACACTAACACAGGAAGAGATTCGTAGTTTGGAAGCAAAATTAGTTCGAATGTTCTCAGATTTATTAGTAACTAAATCTAGATTATTGGAAAGAATACCAAGTTCCGGGCTATCAACTTCTGGTCCTGAGCTGCGACAATGGCTACGGGTTGTTGGTTTAGGCCAAGAATCTTTAGCAACATGCTTGCAAAGATTGAGCACATTAGAAGAATTAATAGAAAAATCTGATGAGGAGTTAAAAGATTTATTAGTTAGTAGTACAATTTCAAAAGAAGAAGAGACAAGACGCTTAACTACAGCAACAAGCAATTTAAAAAGATGTTATTATACATTAAAGGATGGGAAAACCTATCCTGAAAATTTGTATTGGGACTCATGGGATCGTCAATCCCACCATCATCATTATCATCATAGAAGTGATTTTAATTATGGCGAAGGTGGAACGGGGGTAGCATCGCCAAGATCATTAAGATTAAAACAAATTAAAGTAAGACAATCTCCTGTTACTACAATTTTATCGAACGCGGCAATAAGTGGTGCAAATACTGTTAGTGGCAACTTAAGCAATATTAGTAATGTTACATATAATTCGGAAACCGTACAATCACCATCAAATACAACACCTGAAGAATTTTCAAGTTTTCATGGATCAGTTCACACGCTAACACCATCCCCATCGCCACCAAATTCTCCTTGTTTAACAAACAGCAGTGGCGATGGTTTCGGTACCGGATGCAACAGCAGTGGAGGTACAGGTGGTGGCGGCAAGTTGGGACATAGAAAATCAGGTACTCCGCCTCCCAATAAGAAACATCAAACTTTACTATCTTCACATTCCTCAACACCTTCTCACAAACCTTACCCATCTAGTGGTAATAATAATAATCAAAATGTACTAAAATCGGGTAAGAAAACATAGTTGTAAAATAAAAATATTTTTTTATGAGATTTATTATTTGTAAACAGGGTTGTTAGGTAGTCAGCAAGCAATAGAACAACAAATGAATAAATCTAAATCACCAGAAACACAAAATTTATCACAAGAACAACAACAAATTTTAATACAGACAGCACTTAATCAGTCTACAAATTACAGCACACAGAATCCAAATAATAATAATATATCACATATCACAAATACCCCTAGAAGCAGGCTTCTTACAGAATCTAGTCCAGATACTCCATCTTTTGGCAGTGGCGGTGCACCAACAAATCGAATTATATCTGAAGCTAATACAACTGCAAATAATTTACAAGTTCCTCGATCGCCTTGTACACCAATTACAGGTGGTTCAATGAAACATACTATTCAACATCGTTTTACAAAATCCATTAAAGTATCAAACTGTGATTTATGCCAAAAACAAATGTTTTGGGGTTTGAAATGCAAGGAATGTAAGTATCGTTGCCATAAAGATTGTGAGCCTAATGTTCCGCCATCATGTGGATTACCTCGTGAACTTTTCGATGAATTTAAGAAAACCTTGACGAACGATGGTTTTATGCCAGCGAACACGTCACCGATTTTAACTAACAGAAATCCGGGTATTGGAGGACCTGGATTATTAACGACAAATCAAAACCGACGTCAAAAGACTTCGGCTAATTACCCCACACACGATTCCAGTTCACCCGGTTCGAGCTGTAACAGTTCATCACCATCGAGTCCTGCTTTATTCAATCATTCACAGCAGTCCTCACAACACAGTAGTTATTCAACTGCTAGTGGTAGTACTGGTGGAAATCATCATCAAATATCTACACCTTTATCAGCGGCTCACAAGGGTATTAATCAGTTTAATTTTCCTGATGTTACTGTAACTGCGAGTCACCAAAATAATACACATATTTTACATTCCGGTAGTAACAGCACCGGTGGTGCAATACTAACAGGAAGTTTAGGAACGCATTTTGAGAAATCAGAAAATTATCAAACAAGTACAAGTATCAGTGTAAGTGTATCTAATTGTTCAAGTGTTTTTATTGGTTCCAGTAACAGTGAGAAAAAAACTGGAGATGATTTAAATAATTCTACTAGCGGTAATAATCAAATTCGGCCACCGCTTTCAGAACTAGCTGATACTCATAAAAGTAATGATAGTGATAAAACAGTATCACTATCTGGTAGTACTAGTGCTAGTACAGATTCTGACAGAACACCAGTAAGATTGGATTCGACCGAGGAAGGAGATTCCGGTAATTGGGCCAGGCAACATTCGTTATCTTTAAAAGAGTGGGATATTCCTTATGACGATTTAAAACTGTTGGAGAAAATAGGTAAAGGACGATTTGGTACAGTTCACAGAGCTTTGTGGCACGGAGATGTTGCTGTTAAATTATTGAAAGAGGACTACTTGGACGATGAACGTACACTAGAAGCTTTCAAACTAGAGGTAGCAAATTTCAAGAAAACTCGACATGAAAATTTGGTGCTTTTCATGGGAGCTTGTATGAAGCCACCATATTTGGCTATAGTGACTTCGCTTTGTAAAGGTATGACATTTTTTTATTTTTATTAATGTTTTCCTTTATGTTCTTTATTTTAACTTTATTTTAATTTTCGTTCAGGTAATACCCTTTATACTTATATACATCTCAGGAAAGATAAATTTAATATGAGTCGCACCACCTTGGTAGCCCAACAAATTTCTCAAGGAATGGGTTATTTACATGCTCGAGGTATATTTCATAAAGACTTACGGACAAAAAATATATTTTTGGAAAATGGAAAAGTCATAATTACAGATTTTGGATTATTTAGTTCAACCAAGTTGATATACTGTGATTTAGGCTTAGGTATACCTAATGGATGGCTTTGTTATTTGGCACCGGAATTAATGCGTTCATTAACTCCATATAAACCTACTGATGAAATCTTACCATTTTCTAGAGCATCTGATGTATATTCATTTGGTACAGTTTGGTATGAGTTACTTTGTGGTGAATTTCCATTTAAAATACAATCACCAGAATCAATTATATGGCAAGTTGGGCGTGGTATGAAACAAACATTGGCTAATCTACAAACATCCCGAGATGTGAAAGATATATTAATGTTATGCTGGTCATTTCAGGCTGATGACAGACCTGATTTTCCAAAACTTTTAACGTTATTGGAAAGATTACCAAAAAAACGTTTAGCAAGAAGTCCTTCACATCCAATACAACTATCTAGATCAGCAGAATCAGTTTTTTAGATATACATACATCTATTTAAAAAGTGTCTTCGAAAATTATAGGAAGACTTATTATTATATATGTATAAAAAATTTATTTATATATATATATATATATAAAAACATAATATAAAAAATTAACTGACTATTTTCTAAAAATTAAATGTATGTATAATTATACATATATCTGTATATAAAAAAATGAAAATCTAATTATTTGTACATTATAAAAATATTTAAGAATGTGTATTATTTTTATGTTTCAATAAATATTTTTAATATACTATTTAATAAGTAAAAACTAAAGTATAAACAAGAAAAAAATTAATAAGGTATGATAACGATAGGAAATGGAATTTCGGAATCGTTTAAAAATATGTTTTATAGAAGCATATGTATATGTGTATATATATAAGGGTTTACCTATATTAAATCAAATAGTATTTAAGGATTATTTTAATTTTTGAACCTGAAAATTTATTAAAACCAAAATTATTTTAAATAAATGAATCAAACTAAAAATTTGAAAATAACAAAAAAGTAAACAATTAGAGCATATTAATTATCTTTATGACTATGCCATTATATAGAGAAAAAAATTTGAACAAACAAAATATCATTCCTTAAATATAAAATTAATATTGTAAAAATATTCAAGCATTATTCATTAATAAAGTAAAGAAATAATAAAAAAAAAAAATATTTTATTTCTTTCATTTTAGAAATGCTGCCAATTAGAATAATACTGAAAATACCCTACACTACGTGCATGAATTTATACTTTTAAAGTTTGTAAATTATGATTTATTCTACGAGAATTGTAATCAGATATAATAAATAATGATAAAAAAAATGGTGTACTGCACATTGTGTTGGTTAAAGAAACAAAAACTTATAAAATTGGAGAAATTGAATATTTCACACTTATAATGTTGTAAGTATTTACGAGTATAATATCAATTTATAAATATTTCCCATTTATAATAAAAATAAAGAAAACGCGAAGCTATTTAAAATTAATAAAAAAATAGATTTTCCAAAATAAAATATAGGATCGGAAATAATAGAATTTGCCCAAATGTTTTATAGCTCAAAACAGAGTTAGAAAGCAAGAGAAGTAAATATAAAGAAATTACTTTACAAATCAAATGGATTTTCAAAATTCTTAAAATATAAAACGAAAATTAGCAGTGTGGAATGTAAATTATTTTATCTCCATAATTTTTAATAACTTAATGAAGTTAAATTTATCTTTTTAAAATCGATGTTTAAAAAAAATGTTATCAGATTAAATTTTAATCATTATTTCCATTAATTTTTCTTACATAATAAAATTAAAATGAATATTAAATGTAATGGATAAAACTAGAAATTAATTAAGATAAAAAATTATTGCAACTTACCTCATAGCCATCCCGTTTCAATACTGAATTAACAATAGCTATTGTTACTAAATGTTGAACAAACGAAATTTTTTGTCCTAATTTTGAATTCAGATCAAAGTGTAATTGTATCGAAAACATAGCGCATCCACTTGGGCTTAACCACTACATTTAGTAAGAAAAAAGAAATTTAAAAAATATTTTTTGTTTTAATAAACCATTGTACGAGCATTTTATATTTATTTTTATCTATGTATTTATTTATGAACCATATTAAATCGTATTTAATGTAATTAAGTTTTGGATTAAAACACAAATTTTTAATCTTACCTGATTACTATGACGACCAGATCCTTCTGTTTGATGTCGAGGAATAACAGCAATTCCATGAACTAATGTTAAATCTGATATAACATGTTGAGAACTGCTAATTATAGGCGCATATATGACCAAACGTCCGATTGAAGTTGTTTTGAGATTCTGTAAATTGTTTTTTTTTTTCATAGTAAATATTTTATAACGCATATTAAGTAATTTATATAGCTGTGTTTACTTTTAAATATGTACTTACTTCAAAATATTCAACGGTAGAAAAATCTTCTGGACACGAATGTATAAGTATAGGTAGTAAATTTGTACTAGCTTTTGGCGGTGTAACATTTTTACCACAAAATCTTAATGCAATATTTTTGGTTTGTATAATTTCATTTGAATCCATAAATTCTTTTAATTTCCCCAACAGTTCAAATTTTTCCTATTCAATAATATTAATGTAAATATATGCAATATAAGTAGTAAAATGTTTTAAAGAAAAAAAGTTTACCTCATGCATTCCCAAAAAATATGCATTCTTATACACACATTTAGGTCCATTTGTATCGATATTAGTTAAATCTTTAATCTTAATGTCTAAATAACTTTTTAACAAATCAGCCAAAATTTCTAGTCTTGCCTTATCACTTCTTTTTAATATATTATATTTTGATTCATCGTATTCAAATTGACTTGGATCCGTTTCTAAATGAATCTGAAAATAGATAAATTTTAAAATTAAATGCATGTTTCATATAATACTTTACAGGGTAGTGTTCGATATATTTTTACAGAGTGAAAGTATTACAAATACAATAAGGAATTTCTGCTTAATTGAAAAAAATTGCCAAAAAACAATTTAAAACTATTTATTTTGGGAAGTGTGTTAAGAAGTACATATTTTCTCTTAACTAATATCAAAATAATTCTTTAATATTAACAAAATATAATTATGAATTGATTTTCATCAGCCTTTTTTTATTATATTTTTTGTTAGGGTTGATTTTACATAGTACTGAATAAAAAATTTTTTTTTTATACTTACTTGAGAGAAAACAGCTTTACCACCACTTTTAATATCGTTTGCCAGTAATATACTAGGAGTATTCCAGGTTTCTTCGCTTCCTAATATCTTAACATCCAAATTATGTGATGATCCCTGAAGATCTTTCATTTCGATGGACCTTGGACATACTAGAGCTCTAAGCCACATATATTTTTTTTATGTTTTTCGCGACAACATTTAAATAATTTGAAAACACGACACGAATGTTACAAAAATGTATAAAAAAACCAAACAAAAAACCAAATAAAATAAAAAAAATAAAAAAAAAAGAAAACCGAAATCAAAACCGAACCGAAAATTTAATTAATTAAAATAAAAATTTTTCAAAAAAAAAAAATTTTTTTTTAAATAAAGAAATCCAATAATTTTTTAAAAATAAATTAAATAAAAAATTAATTTTTAAAAATAAAAAATACTCATAAAAAATTTAATTAACAAAAAAATTTTTCAGGTTTTCAAATTAATAAAATAATTTTTTATAATTTATTTAAACGAATTTTTTTTAAAACATAAAAATAACAAATTTTGTGATTTAAAAATTTTAGTAAAAATTTACAAGAACAAGGATTTTTGGTTTACAATAAGATTTTATTATTTTACAAATAAAAAAAAATTAATGTTTTCTCAAAAACGGATGTATTTGAAACAAAAAAAAAAAATAATTAAAACATTATTTTTTAAAATTTAAAATCAAACATATAAATTTAAATTTATCACATTTAGATGTTTAAATTTTGTATTTAAATTATTTGTTGAGAAAAATTGAAAGGTTGGATTTAAAAAGAAAAATAAAATGAAATAAAATTAATCATAATATAAAATTATACAAAAAAAAAAGAAAAAAAAAAAACAGCGAGCCGCAACACAAGCGATATTTCATAAAAAAAAATATGAAAAAAAAAAGAGAAAATAAATTAAATTTTAATAAAATTTGAAAAACAAAATTAATTAACTAAAATTAAATATTTTTTTGTTTTAATATTTTTTTTTAATAATGCTACTATTAAAATTTAAATAATATTTCTAAAACAAGTAGTTTATATTTTGTTAAATAAGTATATGAGAATAAAATATAACTGGGGTGTTTTTGTTCTTCTATTTGTACTTTTGTTCTTAAATGCTACAAAAATGTCTCAATTTTTGATTTAAAAGAATGAGATTACTAGCCATCTCTTGTTAATTAGAAATTGAATAATTTTCATTAATATATTTCCATTTTTTATATTATACAGTGGTGTTCTAATATAACGAACGATGTTCAACGAATGTCGTGTGGTTCGTTATATCGGATAAATTCAGACTTCTTTGTGTTGTTAATGCTTTTTATTGGTACAAATACGCACGTAAACAAAAAACGATCGACCGCAGAAAAACCTGAACAAAACTGACCAAAAAATATCAAAATATGAGTAGAATGTGAGTACATAACATGTATAATAAACTTTATATAACGGATAATATTACTGACTAACATAACTGACATTGCAAAATAATCATAGCAATAGAAAAACAAAACTTTGCCTATTCATTATACTTTGAAACAATTTTTTTTTTTTTGATATTCGTCATATGGAGTATGTAATTCAAAAAATTTAACAGGTGGTTATATAGGAACGATCATCAAATTGGGTATCTGTTATATTGGAACACCATTGTTTTTAAAATAGAATATTGTATAAATTCTATTATTTAAATAGAAGTAATTTCGTTTTTTAGTGATTATAATATTTTATACACATATTTACATATTTTTCTTATTTAATTAATATAATATATATTTATTATACATTAATTACCTAAAATTCTTTTAATTAAGCTATTATTATTCCGTAAAAATTTCTCGATATGGGATTATAATAATATTAATATAATCAAATAAATAACGCCCATATATGTGGGGAAAAGAATCGATTAGTTTTAATTTTCCCTTTAATAATAAACAGTTAGTTTTCGAACTCAATCTCAATTTCGCATAAATACTCGGCTTTGTTAATTAAACATCCCTCTTTGTAAAATGCATAAAATTCAGTTCAAATTAAGTATTTATTATAATTCATTTTAAAATTAATTGCTTTAAAGAAATATAAAACAGCTCAATTTTGATAAATTTTTAATAAATATTCCCACATATATTTTTATGATTAAAATAAATTAATTTTGAAATAATTTTGAAATAAATCTTTGTTTTTTTTGAAAAATCGAATGAAATTTGTACAAAAATTTTAATTAAATTTCTTTTCTTGTTGAAAAATTTATTTAATTTTTTTATTTAAAATCTTATTAGAATTTGTAATTTAGATAAAAAATATCTTTAAAATTTATTTTTGTGTTATCAAAAGAGCTCTGAAAATTTTGTTCAAGTTGGTGAAATATACATATGTGACTACTATGCTAAAAAAATAAAAAAAAAAATTCTGTAATAAATTTCTCTATTTCATCTAATTTATCTAATTTTTATGTTCAATGGGTGAAAGTAAATCTTAAGTGATTTATATTACAAATATTTCCAACCTTTCAATTGATATTGAGTTATTACTATATATTTTTATATGTAAATAAAATATACCTATGAAAATCGTCATTTCATCTTTAATGAAAACTTTGAAATTTTAATAAAGACAAATGATTGTTTATCAAAATTTATATTTAACAAAAGAAAAACTGATGAATTACGTTGAACACATAAATAGATTTCTAAAAACGCTTATTCTAGTTCTCGAACACAGTATTGATTAAGAAAACAAAATTTGAATGGTTAGAAATCTCCTTCAATTAATTTGAGACTAAATGTTACAATAGTAGTTTTTCAAATATTTTAAGTAATGTTTTCAAACTAATTTTAAATTGAAAATAATTTGCATTGCCTTCAAAAAAGCAAACAAAAATTAAAGAATAAATAAATAAAAATAAAAAAAAATTAAATTAAAATCAATATTATGAATACTTGAAATTAAACCTTCATATTTGTAGCCAATTTTATTAATGTTTTCGTTCTTGTGAAAACAAGTTTTTGTATTTGAAGTTAGTTTTTGTAATATAATTTTAATATTATATGACAAACTAAAAAAATAATTTAACATTATTCATCCAAAATTAAAATTATTGTCTTTCAAAGATACATATAAAGAAATTTTTACATAGAACCATTATTTAATTCTAAAAGCTTTGACCTGGTTCTTGCATACTACAATTTCGCAAGTACGTATCAATTTGTATTGCCCCTTATTTTCACTGCACCGCATTTAATATCAAACTGAATTAATTTCTGAATAATTATTCTTCAGTTCGAATTTAAGTAATTCTAATTAAGTAATTTAAGAACCTATTGTGTTTTGTAATTATTTACAATAAATTCAATTTAGGAATTGTTTAGAATCCAAAAATATTCTAGTTTTTAAAGATTGCATTCAAAACACAAGACAACGTTTATTTATAAGATCATTTTCAAAAATTACTAGATTCTTATTGTTATCAAACATTTATAAAATTAAAAATTTTCAATAAATGCTTTTAAGAAAATGTGAACATCATTCCTAAAGCTATTTTAATAAATTAAAAAATTTGCAAATTTATTGTGCTTTTTCCGGTTTAATAATCAATTCTGCTGTGGAAAAATTCTCAAGGCAGTCATGAAAAGGAAACCAAAAAATATATTTGTGAAAGAAAAATTAAATGTTTACAAGTGATTAAGAGGCCTACTACAAATTCCATTTTATTTTTATCTGCCTTTTTTTTTTGCAAAATCAATGTGCTAATTGTGTTATTTTTAAAATTTTGTTGCATTGGTATAAAATAAAATTAATATTTTTTTAAAAGAAAAGTACAAAATGACAAAATAAAATTTTCAAGCGACTAGGCTAAAGACGGTAAGGTGTACATTAAATTTTATACATTGAGAAAAAATTGATAATTAAAATGGATAAGTATATATATATACATATGTACCTAAATTTGATTTCATTATTATTTTGTAATTGGCTTTTATTCAAAAATAAAGTAAAGTAAAATTAATTAATTTAATTTCGAAACCACATAAAAAATTATAATTGTATTTGTAATTATAACATAAATTGTAAAAAATTTAACAACTTAAAAATGATTAAACAAAATAAGTTATTAAATTAATTAAATTATTAAAATTTTTAGCAAAATTTCCATGATGCTTCTAATCTTAATTTAGAAAAATATACTTTTATTTAATTTAAAACTTTATGTAATATAAATACATAATATGTTTGAAAAGAATTAATAATAAATTTGTAATCCTTAAAAATTAACAAGAAAACTTTATAAATTACATTCCAAATTTATTAATTACAGCAATATCAATAAAATTGTAAAAAAAAATAAAATAATTTTAAAAAGTAAGAAATTGAATATATTATTTTTGTCTTTAATAATTATTTTTGAAATCAAATTTTCATACATACATGTGCGAAAAGATTTCTAAGTCGTGTATTGTAATTTTAATGCAAAAAATTCATCTATTTCAGACTCAAAAATGTGTAATTTATTTTATGAAAATTTCATATTGGCATTTCTGTTTAAAAAAAACAGTTTTTCTGCCCTGTTTTTTTAAATTTACTTCAGTAGTCTAATTCTCAAACAATTAAAAGTTTCTACTTCAAAAAGGTTAAACATTAAAGTTAAATTTGTATTAAGAATTTTGTAGTGTTCCAGTCTCGCATTAAGTAAAGTATAAGTAAGAAAAAAATTATTTTGAAAGGAATTTCAAAATTGTACATACATACATTCATATTTTTTAATTGGCTAGATATGAAATTTTCATTATAAATTGCAAACATCAATTAAAAATATCTATTAGTTATAAATTAATTGAACAATATGATGAAAAATTAAATTTCTTACGGTTTTTTAGTTAAAGTGGAACTAGAATCTTCGCTATCAGTTGAAAAATGTTTTCGAACTGGTGAGGGTTGATAACAAAATATATGATGCATCATTTTAATCTTTTCCCACTTACCATAAGAAAATTGAACTAATTCATGTTCTCTTACCTTAAATTTGAAAAATAAAACAAAAAAAAATATAAAATAATAGCGAATTAATAATATTTAACAAAATAAAAAGAAACTACTTCGGCTGTGCGATATGTTGGTAAAACTATATGTAATACATCAGAACATAATGACAACATTCGGCCTCCCCTAAGAAAATAATCTAATAGAATTTCGCCAAATTGATTTTCAATAGTTCCACAAACAATCAGTAAAAATGTGTTGTCAGCCCATATTTTTTCTGCAATTTGCTGAAGTGTAAGCGAATAAATTGTATATCTAAAAATATAAATGATTTTTTATCCAAAAAATATTTTAATTATAAAATTTATTTATGTGAATAAAAATAAAATTTACGTATCAGGTTGTAAGATATCTTTCAAAGATGAGATGACACTGTCTTTAGCACTAGCGCTATTTGAATAGACTAGAATGTTTGGAGGTTTGTTGTCACTTAAGCTACGTTTATTTCGTTTTAAACTAGGTCGTTTAGTATTATCTTTTTGAACGGAAATTATCGGTTCAGGTTTCTTTTTTTGATTTGATTCTGCAGTGTCAGATTCAGAAGCAATAAAAGTTTTTGTAGTTTCTTCAATTGGCTTATTAGAAACGGAAGCTTTTTTGATAGTGTTTGTTTCAGTCTCTATTTTTTCACTAGAACTGGTGGGTATATGAGAATCATTTTGGACTATTTCTGTAACTTTTTGCAAAAGTTGGATTTCCTCTTTCTTTGGTGTTTCTGCTTTTTGCTGATAAAGAGCTGACTTCGATGGCGAGGTTTTTGAAGGTGAAAATGAAATTGGCATTGCTTGCGATGGAGAGGATTTCAGTGGAGATGGTTTTAATGGAGATCCTTTTGGTGAAACGGATGGTACAGGTTCTTCAGGAGCTCTACGCATAGGGCTAACTTTCGCTTCAATTTTTATTGGGCTTCCACGAGGTGATGATATTACCTTTTTCGCTGGGCTTCGCTTTGAATCTAATGATGTAGATGTGAGTATTTCATCTGTATTTTTGCTTAGGGATGTCGAAGGTATTAGGTCAGGTTTAACTATTCCTGTCTTTCCTTCTGTACGGTTTTTATTGTATTCAAACTCCGTAGCTTGACTTGCAAGTACACTTAGGCTTCTTAATCCTACTAAATGTTTTTGCCAATCTTCATCTGACAATTGCCGCACAGCACGACTAATCAATTGCTTCTGTAAATGATTTTTTATTAATTCAAAAGGCTGTGGTTGTCCTTCATAGCAAACAGCTATAAAAAATAAGAAAATTATATTATAAAATGTTAAAGAAATTTAAAAAAGACAATACATTCAATTCGAATTAATGGAAGATGATCGTTAATTGTAAAATTATCTTGCATAAAGGTAGATATTATTAACTTTGTGAAATGATCAATATCAGATTGTAGCAAAACCGCAAAATGAGAATCGATTTTCCATGCAATTGGCTTACCATATTCCTCAATCTAAAAATACATTTTTATTATTAGATCAAAGTTTAAAAAAAAAACTATTTCGTGTCACAAAATAATCAATAACATTTACCATAACTACAAAATTTTCATCTAACTTTTCTTTTAATGGAATGACATCAGTCTCTAGTAGTAAATATATCAAGTTATCCTCATTTAATTGTAATTCCAATTTTGATTGACTTAATTCAAATGGAATGAGATTTGGCGGTTCTGGAAACGATATCCAAGGCGCCAAATGTAATTTTTGAAGCGGTATTAAAGAACATCCTCTTTGATTATTTCTTAACCATAAAAAATCTGAAATTCGGGCTTGACTACGATTTGTGCAAAGCTCTGAGGTTGAACTTACTATTTCTTAAAAAGTTTGAATGCATAACATGAGTAGTTTCGTTTAAGCGGAACAATAAAAAAAAAAACTAACTTACCATTACCTTCAATAGGTATGCTATAAAAAGCAACACTATTTTTTCCTGCTATCTTCTCTGTAATTTTATTACAAACGTTCCTAAATCTCCAACTTTGAACATAAGTAGCAGCAACATAGTACAATGTTAAAAACATATTTGAATGACAATCGTGTTATTTTTTAACTTCTTGTTTTTGAAGATTATTATAGAAAAAAACTTATTGATGGCTTGTTATGAGGAATGGGGGCTTCTCAAGGATTACAAAATGTATCGAAATTTTATGAAGTCATCTTTTGTAGTAATAACCAATTCAAATAACACTTTAAAATTTTTAAAATGAATTCAATTGAATACTTTATTTATGAATATTACAGTTGCTATCAAATTAAAATAATAAACAATTTTTCGCAACGAAATTATAAATTTTATTTTGGTTTCGTAATCCTTATGTCAAAATTGGTTTTTTGTTAAAGAATATTTTGTTTTGTTCGATTGCTGTTTGACGTTATTGATTGTCGAACATTTTGTATTACATGTTTTTCCCATAGTGCGAGTATAAAATATTTGCATAAAATTTCCCTCCATTCAAAATGGTTCTTTTTTTATTTTCTTAAATATTCACAATGTTTAATTTTAATACTTTCACTTTCCAAAGCTGGATTTGTTGATTGTTTCATTTTATTCAATAATTTGAAAGAAATAAAAATATTTTTTAATTTAATAAAAAAGTTTTCATTTATTCATTTCATTTATTCATATTGTCGTGCTAGGTGGAATATTGCCAATCATTTCTCTCTAGTATAATTCGCCTTATATGGATGTTCCTCTAGTATAATTCGTTCCTTATATGAACATTATTCGCTTTATTAAAAAGGCTACTTTCCAGATTTTAAAAAATCAGTTAACAATTATAAAAAAGTCTTTAAACTTTATTTTTTTTATTTAAATGGTGCAGCGTAAAAATTTTACAAAGTTTTACATTGTGGAAGTAAAATTAAATTGCCAAAATCGTTTGTTTTGACATTTTCATAATGTGATTTTAACGTTTGACAATTTGTTTTTTAATTTACTAGTAACTTTATTACAATTTATAAAGAAAACAACATAAAAATTCAAAAAGAAGTAGTTTATGACTACAAAAAAGAAAACAAAATGTGTCAAATGCACTGTCAACTCTTCTATATTGCTCTCTCTGCTTTTTCCTGCACATTCAACAAGTCTTTAAAGAAATTGAACGCTTCGTTAAAATTTATGCATAAACTATATGGAACTCGAAGATATTTCGCCTTAGTTAACGTAGCTTTTACAATATAGAAGTTAAAAAATTATTAATTATAACAATAATTCAGTATAACAATTAATACCGTTAGGTCCGAGAAGAAATAAGGAAAATATAACAAAAAATGCATACATACTATAAGAAACAAAACTTTTTTTTTTATATTTATTATAGTTATTATTTAATATCATTTTCATTTATATTACACACATAATATAATTATACATTTTATATAAGTGATAATTGTATTTACTTTAACAGTTTTTTTTCTTTGCTACAAAATGAAATTGTTTTTTAGTTTTTAAATTTATTACTATTTACATATTGTAATGTATTTATTCATTATGTATATTCAAACAATAATTAATATAATTAACATGTAGGAATATATTAAATTAAAATATAGAGAAAAATAATTTATTCATATACGTACATTTATTTTGTATTTTTGTCCGGTTAAAATAATTAAATTTGAAAGTGTAATATTTTTATTATACTTAAGCAAATATGAAAAAACTTAATTTAATAATATGTATTATATAAAACGCCTACAATAACCTGACTATATGAGTTTTTATAATTGTGTAAAGTTTTTCTCAATTTTAAATGTTGGTTTAACAGGATACTGGACAAGATTACAGAAATTTTAAATTTTTTTAATTGTAAACTAAAGATTAATCAAATTTTACACAAAATTTATCTACATACGAACATTTTTCAATATTTTTATATAATTCAAAGTCCAAAAAAACATTATTGTACTTATATACAGAACATGCAATCAAACATTAATAAATTTCATTAGCAATGATGAAACACTTAAATTATATAATTAAATTATTTAAAATATCTATCGTTATCAGTTCTTTTATAAACTATATAAGATAATTACTTATTAATATTGTGAATATTTTGTAAAAAAAAAACTTTATTAAAGTGATTAATAAAATTAAGGTAATGTAAAGAAGATATTTTCCATTCCAACTTCAATTCAGAGTTTTCCTGTGTTACATCAAATACATAATTTAACCTTAAAAGAAAAGACGAAAAAATTATTAATTAATTAATATTGAAAAATTTTTCATTGTATTTTAAGAATCTTATAAATATGAAAATTGTTGTTCTTTAAACTTATTTTTATTTTAAAATGAAATTTTTTTATATTATACATAAGTTTAATAAAATACCTACATAAATTCAGATAAATAATTTTCATCCTCTTTATCAGTAACAATTAGAATATTGAGGTTAGGTAAGTATTCTAGGTATAATTTAATGTTAAATGCCTTTTTGACAAGACTTCAATTTCATAGGTAAGGCCTATTTAATATTATTATTTATGAAAATATTAAATAATTTTTTCATGTGTCATAAACAAAACTATTTACATACATAAAGTATTTTATTATAAATTGAATGTAAGTATTTAACATAATATGAATGAATGTTTACGACATATTACACACTTATTAAAAATTATTATTATAACTGTTAGAAAATTTAGACGCATAACTAAGACTATTTAGCTGAATTTTAGCATAACTGCACGCAGGTCGGTATGAAAGACAAGTATGGATCGGTATGAAAACAAGTAAGATCGGTATGAAAGGATCACTGGAACCGTAAAATGTAGTAATCACTGCAGGGGGCGCCGATTTATTTTAAAATTTTGATTTAAGAAAAAGTTAACTAACACAAATTTAAAAACACTGAAATTAACCTTTTAATTTTTAAAAAATCCAGAAATTTAAGATCGAATATTAAAACATAACGATGAAAAATTTTTAAATATTGAGTCTTTGCTTCAGCTCTTCGAAATTTATAAGATCCCCATTAAAATGTCTTTATTTGAATGTGATTAAAATTTTATTTTTATTTAATTAAATAATAATATTTGCCTTTAAGTATCTATTTATATAAATTAATTAAAATTAAATTTTCAAATTTAATTGCAATTAAATACACGCTCCTATTATATTTATTATGTCTTTTATAGTTCAACGACCACTATTTGAATAATAAAATAATTAACCTTTTTTTTCAATTTAATAAATTAAATACTTAAATTGAAATTATTATGTTATATTATCAATATTTAATTTTTTTTATTTATATATTAATTTTCTTTTATGAATTTCTTATCACTTCTCGCTTACATACATATATATTCATACATACTATATATTTATTGTACAAGAAGTAAAAGAAGAAAATTAATAAAATATTAAATTGAAAAAAAAACGTTAATTTTTGCATTATCAATTTTAATTTTTTTAGAGGTCAAAAAATGGGCAAAAAATAAAAGGAAGAGTCTTGGAGAGAAGAAAGACAAACGTCCAGTAAAAGAAAGAAGGAAGCCTATTTTTTGTTTTCTTTTCTTAATTATCATTTTTCATTTCTATTTATATTTACTGTGTAACATTTTAATTACATATTACATTTTATTTTCACTCTATATTAATCAAAAATTATGTGCAAATGTGTAAAATATGTAAAAAAAAAATCTTAAAAGTTATCGTTATTTAAATGAAGCGAAAACACAGACATCTGACATTTTGACCTTCATGTATATTTAAAGGGCAAAAACATAATTAAACCAGAATTATGAAAAATTATATTTGTAATAAATACAAGTATGATCTTTTAAATAATTCCAAAATTGTAGTATCTCGTATTTCTATTTTCACCATTTGAAATGCGTACTCAAAACTGAGCATAATCCGAGTTCAAAATTTGTAGTAATATCTACTTTATTTAATAATCATTTCAGCCTGGGATCTCCAATTACTGAATTGGGTATTAACACTATATTAATGAAATTGTTAAGATGGGATATACCTAAGTTTAACTTTATACAATTTAAAATTCGAGCTTAGAAAAAATTTTATGAAATAGTACCCAATTTTTATCGAAAAATTTTTATTAAATTTTTCTGTGCCAAGTTTTTAATATGCTTAAAAATTTATTCTTAGATCATCATTTAATTAGCTTATTTAATATTATTTCATTTCATTGGAACTTTGAAAATTTAAATTCGAGATAAAAAGAATTATTAAAGATTTCAAGATTATAAAAGTGAATTATGAACTATCAATAGAAATATTTTTACTAAAAATATAATTAAATTTTGTTTCCATGGCATAACGTTTGATAATATTATTTTTTTTCACTCAATTGTTGGCGTATTTACTATAGTAATTTATTAAACCGTATAAGTATTGTATTAGGCGCCTCTCTTTTTAGAAATTCCAGATGGGTACATATAGTGATTATTTTACTAGAAAAAAATGTTTACGTTTTAAAGTAAGTGATAATAAAAAAAAAAATTATACTATTCAATTTTTTTTAGTAATTATTAGAAATGACCTTTAAAATGACACTTTTAAACAGCTTTTGATGCAATTTTACAGGAATTCAAAAGAGATAGTGCTGATATATTACATTTGTATATTTTTTTATAATTTGTAACTAAATTTAATGACGGAATTATGGAAATATAACAAATGGAAAATTATAATTTTTTTAATATGTATATTAATTAATTTAAAATATAAAAATAGAAATCGATCATTTAAATGACCCGGACTCGTAACTTGAAAAATGAAAATCAAATAAAAACTCTTGAGAAATGACAAGATGTAATTTTAACGTTCTATGAATAACTATTCGGTTAGCGTTAGATAGGTATGTTTCAAGGCCTTCAAGTTGAATGAAATTGTTTAATGCTAATATTGTTTTATTAAAGATCTTTACCATCCCCTACTTTGTTATTACACAAATTAACAGTTATCGTTACTAAAAGCTAAGATATACAAATATAGTATTTTCAATATCGAAACTTATATATAGATGATTTTATGTTTAGGATTCTTTTAATTCAAAATGATAATTATAATTTTTTTACTTACCAAAAACTTCTTGTGAACTGTAAGTAACATATAAGAAACCATCATCTTGTCTATATTCATGATATATTTCAGATAAAGTTTTACTAAGCGGTACTAATGATCTATCATTAACTAATAAAAATAATGCTTTTGTTGAACCAACTTTAAGTCGATTACGTAAAATTGTTAAAAATTGTGATAATGTTATTTCTTGTGGTACTAAAAATTTTTTTTTATTTAAATATGGTAAATCGTATTCTCTTGAATAACGTTCAACTATAACTGGAATTTTATTTGGAAAACGTAAACGTATTGCACATGCTTCATCACTTTTAATTGAATCTATAAAAAGAAGAAAAAAAAATATATATGTATTTTAAGTTAATCATATTATTATTGTTTAATATAAATTAAAAAAAAAAAATCTGAAAATATAAAATTTAATTGGATTTCATTTAATACAAAAAATAGTTTGACTAGAATATTTGCTCTGATTCTTATATAGAAATTGAAGAGAATATTTTTCATTATTAATCCGGATTAAAGTTCAGTACTTATCAAAATTATAATATGTTAAATTAAAAGGACATTTACCTTTATTCAAATAAATATATATATTTTTGCAGAATCTACTATTTTCGGCGGTTTATATTGTATTGTGAAATACAAATTTAACTGTCAAATTTGACAAATATATTTATAAGCATTTTGATTTCGGCCTAAAATTATTACTGTGTTTATATACACCTTGAACTTAATTTAAGCGGATTTGGTGTTCATATAAACGCTGCTTGACTTGAAAAAATGATTAGCTTGGCATGAAAATTGACTGCATATACGAGAATTGAAATATTAAAAATGACAAATTTATACATATAATGCTTGACATTAGCTCAGGTCGATTTCAAATAATACTATTTAAATTTGTATATTAATACTAAGTATATGAAATATTTTAGTGTATTTAATTATCTAAACTTAAATAACATTATATACTAAATAAATTTTTGATTATGGGGTATTGACAATGTAAATACGAGTATATACGGTTTTAATAAAGCATTAAATTAAAAAAAAAATTTCGACACCCCGAAAAATTTTCAATATTTCATTTTTGAATTATCTACGTTTAATTTTAAAATTAATTAGGCCGAAATTTTCTTGTTAGTATACATAATATGTGTGTGTAATAAAAACAAAAGAAATTGTTACCCATTTTAAAAAATTATCTTATTTCTCTTGAGAATTTTTTTTGTTTAAAAAATTTATGATAAAATTTTTTTAATATAAAATTAATTTGCTTACATTTTGTTTAATAATCATACAAAATATTTAAATAATTTTATTTCATAAATAAAATAAATTTTTATATATAAATTATGAACTCCAATAAATTAAATAATATCAAAGACCAAATATGATTTCAGACGACCTGAAGTCTAAGGAATTTATAATAAAAAAAATTAAAATTTAATTAATTAAATCGAATAGAGTAGCAATTTTTGAAAAATGCTAATTGTAATTAAATTTTAGTTGAATAAGCTCATAGTAACAAAAAAAAAAATATTTTTTTGATTTTATTTGTTTAATGATAATGACAAAATGCAATATTAATTTTTTTTTTATTGAAAGATTAAATTATATTTGAACAATTTATTGTATAATCTATATAAAATGTTTATTTTTGTATATTATACAAACATTTAAAGGAAAAATTATAACAATTGATAGTAAATGTAATAAAAATTCTAGAATATTGAATATGAATTGAATATTAGGAGTAAATTGATTGAATATTTGAGTAATCGTTTTTTTAAGGTTAGGATTATTTTTTTTTATGGATAATTAATAACAATAACACTGACTTGACTTTTAGATTCAAAAATTGTTTTGATTTAGTTAAAATGTTAAGTTTTTAAATATATAAGACATATTTTTTCCCAAAAAAAAAATTAAATCAATAAAATTATTAAAAAAAAATGGGCAGATGAAATTTTGTAAATAAACCTATTTCATTATACAGAAGTAATTCTTTACTAAGTATTTATTATGTATGTAAATTAATTTGACAATCTGTTATTTAATAAAAATCTATTTCTTATAATTATCAGTACTCTTTTATTGAAATTATTACAATTTTTGTTCAGTACAATGACGGTATTTATTTGAATTTATTAGATTAATTATAATATATTGCCCTTAACAGAATATAGCCCTTGAAAGCATACTAGCAAAAACAAATGTGACTGGAAAATGGCAAAATATGGGCTATTGTGAATTTGCAAAACATCTTTAATTTCATTGATTGAATTTATAAAATTTATTGCATAAAATATTGAAGACTCAAAGTTTACTTTTTTAATCCGGATTAAAAAAATATTTACTTTTTTAAGTGATTAATTTTCCTGTATTGTCCGCTTATTTCACTGCTTTGTATGAAATATAAAGTAGATATGTCGATTAAATAGAATTAGTTATATTTCTTGTAACATGTAGGAATATGCTCTTAAATATTTTATATTTACATTGTGTTTATATACTTGCATAAATGGATGTGTAAGAAATATTTCTAATTCTAATAAGACTTTTCTAGAATTCAACAAACACAAGTACAAATTTGTGTACTATTAATAACATATTTATAAAAAATAATATAAACTAAAATACTGTATTATCAAAATATCACCGTTCATTTAACTCACGAAAATAAAAAAAAATCTCAATGTATTTTTGTATACTAAATACAATATTTAAAATATTATTCAAAATATTATTTTGATAACTTAAATATGCTTTATTAAAGATAGTGTTATAATGTATATACTCTAAAAATATAGCAAGTACATAATAAAAAATAGCGGACGTGATCAAAAAAGGAAAACAACAAGTTTATTACCTTGGATTCAAAATCAAGCACAATATAATAAACAAATTAAATTTAATTAAATAAAAATATTAAAAAGATTATTTTAAGAACTCACCTCTTTTATTTGTTCTATTTAAATCAATTTTATTATTTATACTAGTATTATTGTTATTGTTACCGCTACTACTGCTACTATTGCTTCTAAATAATGTTACCGGTCCAAAATTGGCATTAACATCAAGCTTTTGATCTTTCATTCTTTTACTGATGCTGTATCTTACGTTATCAATTGATATCATTTAATTTTTTTTTTTTAATTTATTTTCGGTTTTTTTTTATTAAAATTTTTAATTTATAATTTTATTATAAAAATATTTTAAATAATATTATGGTAGGTTTAAAACAATAACAGGAATAAATTTTTATTTTATTTTTAATTTTTGTTCTTTATTTTTTATCCGCACTTCCAACAAATCATCCAACCTGAATAACAGTCCGAATTGTACTAATATAAATTTAACACAAGAATTTAAATTTTAAACTTGATTGTTTCTTTTTTTTTTCTATAAGTTTATTTAACAAAACCCCCATAGGAAATATTATTTTCATGCATGTTTGTATTTATTGTCTATATAGAAAATGGAATTATAAATGAAAAGTTACCAGATGTTATCAAAGTTATAATATACATATTAAAATTTTTAATTCTCATTATCACTAGGCGAGTTTGTTTGGTTCTTTTGTTTTTTTTTCTTTCTATATATTTGCATTTGTCTCCCTTCTCTTTAGATTTACTCTAGAATATTTATATAATATAATAAATAAAATATACTTATATACTTTTAGGTATGCACATACAGTATTGCACATTTAATTTGTGTGACTTATAGTTTTCGTGTCAGCATAAATTTAAGAAATGAAAACTAATACCAGATTTAATACAACTTTTATAATGTCATAAAATTAAAATGTAACATGAATATGTGTGTATGCATAAATTTCAGTAGTTAGGTACATATGTACATATAGATAAGAATTTGAATTTTTATATTATAATATAATACATTCAAAACTTTTAAATATTAAAAATATTTATTGTTTCTTAATAATAATTGAAGATGAAATTTGTATTCTCTTAATAGAAAATTATACTCTTGTAATATTATTAATGTGTACACATTATAACAATTACATAATATGAAATCTTTTAAATAATCTTTAAATAAAATCATCAGGCAGTTTGTTTAAAAACCTAGCTATAGTACATCATAAGAGTTAGAGAAATGGGACATCTTATTAAAATTATCTATTGTTGTAATGAGCCTGTATTTCTGTTGGAAAAATATTTTACAGTCCCAAGTATTTATTTACGTAATATTTTATTAATAATAAACTCGGGATTTTTGCATGATACTCGTATGTGAAATATCGAATAATGTCTGCATACTCTATAAATGTCTGATAAAATACAGGTCTATTGTCAAATCCTGTAATTAAAACCGTATACTGCTGAATTAATCAAGTTGACGTTAAATTTTTATTTTGGACCCTATGATTGCAGTTATTATTTTTTTATTTTATATTAATATTTTGTTTATTAACTAGTTTATGATAATATGTGTGTATGATAATAATGCCGGGCCGGTTCTTCTATTTTTGATATAAAATTTTTGTTATTTTTTTTTTGTCCAAATTTGAGTGGAAAATTAGAAAAGAATAACTGAATAATTATTATTAAAATATAAAAATTTATTATGTAAATGAAAGAGATAATGATATTTTTACCGAAAAATTAGTACGTGATTATCGTAACGATGGTTTTTACTATTAGTATAGAGAGGTACAAAATCATAACATAAATTATACATAAAATATAAAATACATATTGTACGTACATATATATTCTTATGTACAATGATTATTTTTAGTACTCGTATTGAAATTTTTAAGGATAAACTTACCTGTATTACATTTTGGTGTTATAGAAGCAACTGACACAAAAATAATATTTTTATCTTAGAACAAATCAACAACATGTTTCATAAATTGACCTAGTAACAGTTAAATTTAATTTTTGCTATGAAATATTTTTTATTACCCTATGTGTGTTACTAAACATACTTACTTACATTAGTTGTTTTATATTGTTGATACCATTGTGTATGCACATATTGAAAGTAAATTTCTTGAAAATTTTTGTAATCAGTATTAAGTTAAAGGGATATTTTTAAAAGATATTAATATTTATTATATTGTACTCGTGAAAATAATAAAGACAGGATAGTTTTATCTGAATAGGTATAGTAAATATTTATAAATATTATTAATGTAATTTTCTGTTATATTTGTTTTATTTATAAGTAAACTAAATAATAGCAAATAATTTTTTAATCAGCAACTTCGGGTAATACCAATTACAACTTTCTTTATATTATTGGGCCTTACCTAGGATTTAATATAATTTTACCGATTAATGTTTTCTACGAAGTCAGTAATTTTTGACCCATACTACATATAGTAGCTTTTAAGCTAGCGTATTATCAAATACATTACTAAAAATCTCTTTTGCTTCAAATTTCTTGATAAAACTGTTTATCTCGGTAATATTTCTGAAAATTGGCTTTACCCAACTTCATTTAACTTTGTTCTAGATTTTAAAATCTAAATTATTTTTAATAAATCACTACCCTATAAATATGTATATTATATATATGAGTATAGATTCTATTACCTACATGTCAATGACCTGAATTAATTTACTTAAGAATTAACTAAAGCTATAATTTTTATACTGTTCACAATTCTAAATGTGCAAATCTGCTCACTATTTTAAACATAATATCTACATATGTATATGCGTACGTATATGTATTTAAGATCATTTTATAAAAACAAATAATACTATTATATTAAATTTTATTAATTTTATTAAGTAATATTACTAGTTTTAAATTATAAAAAAAAAATTATAAGAACAAAGTCGGCGCCTATAATATGATAATAAAGTAAAGCTCTCATTTTATATGATTTTATTGGAAGAGTATATATGTACTAGAATATTAATTATTGTGTTTATTACTATTAGGTGATTATTATGTACGTATATGCATTAAAATATACAAGTTTATATTATATACAAAGTAATTTAATTATTAAAATGTTTTACCTTAATTTTTGCTCTAATCTTTTATAAAATATTTATTAATGTTAGACACAATGTTGAATAAAAATATTTTCATATTATATGTATAAATTGTGTTCAATTAACGGTAATACAAACTTATTAATATCAAGGATGTTAAAATATAACAGTAACTTGTATTTAATATAAAGCAAGTTTTAATTCATGTAAGGATCGTTAAATTTCTTCTTGATTTGTCAGATGTTTCATAAGAACTTGTACGATTAAAGAAAATTAAATAGGCGAAATTTTGAATAATTTCTTTAATCCTTAATAAAAGGATTAAAGAAATTATTCAAAAAATACATAGCTTCGATAATTGAAGATGTAGTTTTAAAGGTGAATAAAAAAAAATATTTTTTTTTTAAATTTTAAAAAATTTCCATTGCATTCTCATTTTATAAAATATGTATTTTAAGTTTTCCTTTTTTTATTTATTCAACCCACCAGATTTTCATAATCTTGAATTGTATTCATAAATTATCATAAGGAAAACTTGAAAAGTAGAAAAGATTATGTTCGGTTTTAAGGACAAAGTACTTTTTTTTCAAGTTTTGGGTTAATGCTTTGTAAAAGGCATGATTAAAGCTTTAAAAATTTTATATAAAGATTAATATTTGCCGAAATAATTTTACTTGAAAAAATCTATTTAATTCTAACTTTTTTAATAGTAATACAAAGGACTTCTTATTTTCAGCTATCTAAGCTGGTCAGAGTATAGCTTAGTAATTCTCGAAATAAGTCAGTTTTAAATGAAAATTCATTCTTTTATGAGATTCATGAGTTAGACCAATTTGATTTTAATTTCGGCGAATTGTCTGAAATAAAAAGTAAAAATAAAAATCCATAATTGAAGAACTAACTAAAATTTTAATTCAATCGATTTTGAGATTTACCGCTCTCTTCAAACTGTATTTTTGCGAATATCTACATAAAATTAATGTTCCCTCCAATATTAGGTGCGCTACCATATGTGATAATAAGTTTAAGACAAAAGCAATAATAATACTGTCTACGAATTGATTTTTCTTATGCTTATCAGCAGTAACAACATAAAAAATTAAATAAATAAATAAACATGCGTAAGTGCATCTTTTGAAGTAAACAAGCTGATAATCGCAATGAATAATAAAAAAAATCTTAATTAAAGTTAATGGAAATTAAATTTTTTTTTTCATTATAGACTAAAAAGAGATTCGTAATAATTTTAAAGGAATCACATTTTTTATGAGTGCTTTGATTAAAAAAAAATCAATTATTGGTGGTTGATCTCTTGCTAAAAATTAAAAAAAAAAATGAAGTATGTCGATTTCCTCAACGAACTGTAACTTGAACTTTCTTTTTCCAGTTTTATTGACGCACTTTGTTTAAGCTATATTTGTTTAAATTACAAATACTACATTTAATATTGGAATATTTAATAAAAGTATAGTAAAATGGCAATTTGTAAAATTGCCAACTGTTATACATTCAGCGGTAATTTGTCAATTTTTCAGAATGACGATTATAAAATTTTGAAACAAAATTTTTTGATTAGGTATGTACATATACGAGTACTCGTAGCATTATAAATTTTTCTAATTTTCCGGGTTATGGCACTATAAAAATTTGATAATTTTTACAGCCAATTTTGTATTATTGAAACAAAATTCGGCAGGACACTGATTGTAGGGGTTTAAAAATTTGCTGTTAATACTAAAATTAAAAAAATGTTCCTCAATTAAAATTGGAAAATAGGATTGTTCAGCTTAGTTTTCATTGATTTTTTTTTTACTTAATAATGAATAAGATCACAAGTTGTAAATGAAATCATATTAATAAACGTTTCCTATTAAAAAATTAGAATGGACGTATGTATATTATAGTTTAATGACCGCTTTATTTCATAATACACATATTTAATTATTAATAGATTTAAATATTGTAAAACATTTTCTAGTTTACCAATTGAAAATTGAACATATGGTTGTGTTACAAATTATTGTTTTTGATCTATTGTTTTTTATTTTGTATTTAATCAGAATAAAATTAATTAATTTAATATATATTAATCAAAGTTTATTTAAATTTATTATATTCGCATTTATTATTTTATATAAATGATTTATAATTTTAATAACTTATATTTGCATATTTTTATACAAAGTATGTATGTGGAAGTATGTATCATATAAAGAAGATATTCTTGTATAAATAGTGGAATTTATTTGTTAGGGGGCTTTTTGAGTAAAATTAACAACTACTTTTACATATTCTTAGCTATATTTTGTACATAATACGTTCATATAAAATTAAGGGTTTGACAATATTTTGTTATGCATTTAAATTAGTTTAAAAAAGCTGAGAATCAATCCACAAACCAAGATATTTTTATTCTGTTACCCGATTAGTAGAG